CAGCTATTCCTCCTCATTCACGAGAAATTCCAGGTTCTATATTTTTCGAAAAACGTCTGTATCAGGAGAACCACTCATTCGCGGGCTATGTCGTGCCACCTTCTCGAGTGTCATGTTCTCCTGATACAAAATTCGCATTGTCAGCCAGCTATTCGTCCTCATACACGAGATATTCAATCATCAAAATTTTTCGAAATACGTCTGTATCAGGAGAACAGCTCATCCGCGGGCGATGTCGTGCCACCTTCTCGAGTGTCATGTTCTCCTGATACAAAGTACGAATTTTCAGCCAGGTATACCTCCTCATTCGCGAGTCATTCCGGGTTCAACGTTTTTCGAAAAACCTATGTATCAGGAGAACCCCTCATTCGCGGGCTATGTCGTGCCACCTTCTCGAGTGTCATATTCTCCTGATATAGAATACGAATTGTCAGCCAGCTATTCGGCCTCATACACGAGATATTCCATTTTCAATATTTTTCGAAAAACCTCTGTATCAGGGGAACCACTCATCCGCGGGTGATGTCGTGCCACTTTCTCGTGTGGCATGTCCGCCTGGTACAAAATACGAATTTTCGGCCAGCTATTCGCCTTCATACACGAGATATTTCAGCTTCAAAATTTTTAGAAAAATGTCTGTATCAGGAGAACCGCTCATCAGCGGCCGATGTCGTGCCACCTTCTCGAGTGTCATGTTCTCCTGATACAGAATACGAATTTTCAGCCAGCTATACCTCCTCATTCACGAGAAATTCCAGCTTCTATATTTTTCGAAAAACCTCTGTATCAGGAGAACCGCTCAGGAGCGAGCGATGTCGTGCCACCTTCTCGAGTGTCATGTTCTCCTGATACAGAATGCTAATTTTCAGCCAGCTATTCCTCCTCATTCACGAGAAATTCCAGGTTCTATATTTTTCGAAAAACGTCTGTATCAGGAGAACCACTCATTCGCGGGCTATGTCGTGCCACCTTCTCGAGTGTCATGTTCTCCTGATACAAAATTCGCATTGTCAGCCAGCTATTCGTCCTCATACACGAGATATTCAATCATCAAAATTTTTCGAAATACGTCTGTATCAGGAGAACAGCTCATCCGCGGGCGATGTCGTGCCACCTTCTCGAGTGTCATGTTCTCCTGATACAAAGTACGAATTTTCAGCCAGGTATACCTCCTCATTCGCGAGTCATTCCGGGTTCAACGTTTTTCGAAAAACCTATTTATCAGTAGAACCCCTCATTCGCGGGCTATGTCGTGCCACCTTCTCGAGTGTCATATTCTCCTGATATAGAATACGAATTGTCAGCCAGCTATTCGGCCTCATACACGAGATATTCCATCTTCAATATTTCTCGAAAAACCTCTGTATCAGGGGAACCACTCATCCGCGGGTGATGTCGTGCCACTTTCTCGTGTGGCATGTTCTCCTGATACAAAATACAAATTTTCAGCCAGCTATTCCTCCTCATTCACGAGTCATTCCAGCTTCAACGTTTTTGGAGATACCTGTGTTTCAGGAGAACCGCTCATCCGCGGGAGATATCGTGCCACCTTCACGAGTGTCATGTTCTCCCGATACAAAGTACGAGTCTTCAGCCAGCTAGTCCTCCTCATTCACGAGTCATTCCAGCTTCAATATTTATCGAAAAACGTCTGTATCAGGAGAGAACCCCGCATTCGCGGGCTATGTCGTGCCACCTTCTCGAGTGTCATGTTCTCCTGATACAAAGTACGAATTTTCAGCCAGCTATTCCTCCTTATTCACGAGTCATTCCAGGTTCAACGTTTTTCGAAAAACTTATGTATCAGGAGAATCCCTCATTCGCGGGCTATGTCGTGTCACCTTCTTGAGTGACATATTTTCCTGATACAGAATACGAATTGTCAGCCAGCTATTCGTCCTCATAGATGAGATATTCCATCTGCAAAATTTTTCGGAAAACCTCTGTATCAGGAGAACCGCTCATCCGCGGGCGATGTCGTGCCACCTTCTCGAGTGTCATGTTCTCCTGATACAAAGTACGAATTTTCAGCCAGCTATTCCTCCTCATTCACGAGTCATTCCAGGTTCAGCGTTTTTCGAAAAACCTCTGTATTAGGAAAACCGCTCATCCGCGTGCGATGTCGTTACACCTCCTCGAGAATCATGGTATCCTGATGCAAAATACGAATTGTCAGCTAGCTATTCGTCCTCATAGATGAGATATTCCATCTTCAAAATTTTTCGAAAAACCTCTGTGTCAGGAGAACCGCTCATTTTCGGCCGATGTCGTGCCACCTTCTCGAGTGTCATGTTCTCCTGATACAGAATACGAATTTTCAGCCAGCTATTCCTTCTCATTCACGAGAAATTCCAGCTTCGATATTTTTCGAAAAACCTCTGTATCAGGAGAACCGCTCAGCAGCGGGCGATGTCGTACCACCTTCTCGAGTGTCATGTTCTCCTGATACAGAATACGAGATTTCAGCCTGCTATTCCTCCTCATTCACGAGTCATTCCAGGTTCAACGTACTTCGAAAAACCTGTGTATCAGGAGAACCGCACATCAGCGGCCGATGTCGTGCCACCTTCTCCAGTGCCATGTTCTCCTGATACAGAATACGATTTTTCAGCCAGCTATTCCTCTTCATTCACGAGTCATTCCATCTTCAAATTTTTCGAAAAACCTCTGTATCAGGAGAACCGCTCACCCGCGGGCGATGTGGTGCCACCTTTTCGAGTGTCATGTTCTCCTGATACAGAATGCTAATTTTCAGCCAGCTATTCCTCCTCATTCACGAGAAATTCCAGGTTCTATATTTATCGAAAAACGTCTGTATCAGGAGAACCACTCATTCGCGGGCTATGTCGTGCCACCTCCTCGAGTGTCATTTTCTCCTGATACAGAATACGAATTGTCAGCCAGCTATTCCTCCTCATTCACGAGAAATTCCAGCTTCAATGTTTTTCGAAAAACCGCTGTATCAGGAGAACCTCTCATCAGCGGCCGATGTCGAGCCACCTTATCGAGTGCCATGTTCTCCTGGTACAGAATACGAATATTCAGCCAGCTATTCCTCCTCATTCACGAGTCATTCCAGGATCAACGTTCTTCGAAAAACCTCTGTATCAGGAGAACCGCACATCAGCCGCCGATGTCGTGCCACCTCCTCGAGTGCCATGTTCTCCTGATACAGAATACGAGATTTCAGCCAGCTATTCCTCCTCATTCACGAGTCATTCCAGGTTCAACGTTCTTCGAAAAACCTGTGTATCAGGAGAACCGCACATCAGCGGCCGATGTCGTGCCACTTTCTGTAGTATCATGTTCTCCTGATACAAAGTACGAATTTTCACCCAGCTATTCAACCTCATTCACGAGTCATTCCATCTTCAAAATTTTTCGAAAAACCTCTGTATCAGGAGAACCGCCCATTCTCGGGCTATGTCGTGCCACCTTCTCGAGTGTCATGTTCTCCTGAAACAAAGTACGAATTTTCAGCCAGCTATTCCTCCTCATTCACGAGTCATTCCAGCCTCAATATTAATCGAAAAACGTCTGTATCAGGAAAACCGCTCATTTGCGTGCGATGTCGTGCCACCTTCACGAGTGTCATGTTCTCCCGATACAAAGTACGAGTTTTCAGCCAGCTATTCCTCCTCATTCACGAGTCATTCCAGCCTCAATATTAATCGAAAAACGTCTGTATCAGGAAAACCGCTCATTTGCGTGCGATGTCGTGCCACCTTCACGAGTGTCATGTTCTCCCGATACAAAGTACGAGTTTTCAGCCAGCTATTCCTCCTCATTCACGATTCATTCCAGGTTCAACGTTTTTCGAAAAACCTCTGTATTAGGAAAACCGCTCATTCGTGTGCGATGTCGTTACACCTCCTCGAGAATCATGGTATCCTGATGCAAAATACGAATTTTCAGCCAGGTATTCGTCCTGATACACGAGATATTCCATCTTCAAAATTTTTGCAAAAACGTCTGTATCAGGAGAAACCCTGATTTGCGGGCGATGTCGTGCCACCTTCTCGAGTGTCATGTTCTCCTGATACAAATTACGAATTTTCAGCCAGCTATTCCTCCTCATTCACGAGTCATTCCAGGTTCAACGTTTTTCAAAAAACCTCTGTATCAGGAGAACCGCTCATTCTCGGGCGATGTCGTGCCACCTTCTCGAGAACCATGTTCTCCCGATACAGAATACGAATTTTCAGCCAGCTATTCCTCCTCATTCACGAGAAATTCCAACCTCAAAATTTTTCAAAAAACCTCTGTATCAGGAGAACCGCTCATCAGCGGGCGATGTCGTGCGACCTTCTCGAGTGTCATGTTCTCTTGATACAAAATTCGAATACTCACCCAGATATGCCGTCGCATTCACGACATGCTCTAGCTTGAAAAATGTTTCGAATAACCTTTGAATCAGGAGTAGTACTCATCGGCGCCCACTTCCTCGAGCCTTATATTCTCCTGATACAAATTGCGTATACTCACCTATATGTTCGATCTCGTTCACAAAATATTCCAGCTTGAATATTTTTCGTAAAATCTCTATGTCAGGAGAACAACGGCATGACATTAAGTGACATCTCCTGGAATATCGTGTTCTTCTAATACAATTTGCGAGTTTTCAGCCAGTAATTCCTTCTCGTTCACAAAGTATACCGTATCTATGCTAATACTAAGTATTTTTAGAAGTACTGATTCGTCCATTGTATTATTAACTTAGAGTACTAGTAATGCTTAGAATATAATTGAGACTGTGATATCGTAATTGTTGTAATCATGGTCTTTTGGAATTAGAAATTGAGTTCATTTATTTTTGCTAACGTCACTGTCACGTAGCAGTGAGATATAGAAATTAATCGTCTTTGTTGCTGACTGTTGTATTGTTTGGCGCTTTATTCGCTGTCGAGATATTTTTGTCTGTGAAGAAATTGTAGTTATTAGCAATCGGTATAAATGAAGTTAAAGATGATGATGAATCTGAGCAACGTAAGATGACGTTATAGTCAGGAATCGCCATCTTGTGCACCACATGACCTCGTTGCCGTGTCCCGTGACCAGCTCACGTGAATTTTGACAAATTCAAACGTTTTTGGTAGAAAAAAATGGATATTTTGGAGCAGCACCTCGAACAACAGGATGTCAGGTAGTGTTTATGTTAAATATCGACTGGCTGATAATGCGAACACCTATCCCTCCTGTTTCGCTCGAGGTCTCCTCAAGGTCATCACGTAGTGCACAGTGCGCACTTACAAGACTTAGGACAACGGTCGTGGAAGTAATAGGCATAGACGTAACTCTATAGATAAGTTACATATCCATTCTTCAACGTGCTTACGTTTGTTTTACAGTACTGTTAACACGAAGGATGACGGGGGCACGGGCATTGTTATTGAGGAAGCGGAAATCGTGGATTGCGAAGGTAAATAAATATACTTTTTAGAATGTTTATATTGCAAAAATTAATGTTCAAGTACACGATTAAAAGTTGCATTTTATTTTCAAGAGTCAAATTGATCGATTATACTTTTTGCTTTTGTCTAAGTATTTACATATAAAACAAGCAAATGGTTTACTTCCGTAAGTTTATTGATTGCATGATATAAATTGCAAAGCAAATTGAAAGCAAAAAGTAATGTTTGTAAAGTCATTAATTTTCTGTAATTATGGAATAAAGAATGTAACCCAGAGAATGAGGTTGATCAGTGTAGATTTCAAGCAATTGAATTATTAATTTTGAAAAATTCGAATTATGAATCATTGATAGGAGAACCTGTTGGGGAAGATGGAATGCGTTACCAAGAAGCTCTTGCATATAGAGTAGTCCAAGTAAATGGCACCACTGCTGGGAATGAGATAGAACTGCCAGTTACTCAACCAGGAAGTAATACCGTACAAGTCCTAACATCTCCATTAAATGGCCAGTTCTATGTTATTGGAAATGCCAACGATGTTTTCACTACTGCTCAAACATCTAGATCACTGGTTCCCAGGACCACTACTCTACAAATAGAGACACCAAGAAATTGTACTACTGTTTTGAAAAAGGTACAAGTCTTCTTTATTTTTTAAAGCTCTTTGAATTTTGTTTGATTTGTAATATACATTTTAGAGAGATGACAGAAGAAGAGCCACTCACAATGAAGTTGAACGTAGGCGAAGAGATAAAATAAACAATTGGATTGCAAAATTGGGAAAAATTATCCCTGAGTGTAATGCTGGTGCAAATGGTAGTGCCAGTGGTAGTGGTGAAGGAAAGGCAAATTATGAAACTCAGGTATTAAATTAGAACTTGTAAAATTTGCAGCTACATGGAACTTTAACAATAATATATTTTCCACGATTTTTTTCAGAGTAAAGGTGGAATTTTATCAAAGGCCTGCGAATATATAACGGAATTAAGAACAGCCAATCAAGGATTGGGTCAATGCTTGCGCGATAATGAAAAACTGCGGCAAGAAATAACTGCTTTGAAACAACTTGTAACACAACTGAAACGCGAGAATCTTCAGCTCAGGTCACAAATATCATCCTCCACTGGAACGAATGTTGATATTGTTCATTTAAGTCCTTAAAAGATTAGTTTCTAATACTATGCTTCTTTTGTAAATATTAGGATATACAGTTTGACCATAGTGGTCAGAAGAAGTATTTACTCTTATAATTTTTGGTTTTATAAAAATTACATCAAATTTCGTCATGTTAAAGTTTTGTTCTTTAAGGTATATTGCACGGTCCTAATGGTATGGTCATGACTACTATGTATATTTCTACGCCTTTAACAAATAACTTTATTTATGTTTAAATTATACATTTTTCTTTGTGTTTAACAATTATTTCAGATTTAGTATTTAAATACGTTGAACTATTAAGACCTCGATTGTACATTCATGAGCATACCATAAATAACATTTGCTAATTATTAAATGCTGGTAAAGTTGTGACTATTCTTCGTAGAATTTGTGAACAAAGAAATTTATTTTTATGTATATATATATATGTATTGAATTGAATTACCTCGTGCACATTGAACGAGCCAAGGCTGTGAATATTGAGCGTTGATTTGGAACTTTCGGACATATAATTTTAAACAATCTAACCACAGTTAATTTCAAAATTGAAACAGAAAGAACATTTAGTTGTAATGCAAACAAAAAAAATGCGATAAAAATTATACATATGTGACAATTACATCTTTACAAAAATCGTTAAATATTTTTTATTTTTTAATAATGTTTTAACAAATGTAGAGTAGGTACTTCGTAAAAAAAAAAAAATCTAGAAACTGAAAATGTAATATAGATTAATCGTACACGTATCGATGTGTATATTTATACATATATATATATACATGTATATATATATATATTTATGTATACACGTGTGTGTATATATGCATATACGTATGCATATAGCAATAAACATATTTTTTTCAATCTAGAACTCTGAACGCTGAAAATGCGTCAGAATGAGTAAAAAAATTAAACACTGGTTTGTAATATATCGTTAATGTACATACCGCGAAGGTTATTGTTATATTATATTATTATTAAATGAAATTTACCGAAAAACACATATACTGTTATTTTTATTTAACCATTAACAATCTTGAATGAAGTTTGGTCTTTTTATGTATAATGTTTATTTGTTTTTTACATATGGTACAATGGAAATGTCGAAGTTATTGGAACACTGTTTACGATGCATTTTACTTTATACTTTCTTTTTAACGATAAAAGACCCTGCACCTCAACAGTTCTAACATTTTGACATCTTTTTTTTTTTAAACTTTCAAACCACATTTTAACGGTTTTAACGTTTAAAATAACATCTACTTTTATGTAATGTCTGCATTCGTCACTTAACACGTTTATATAATATATTATTATAATACAGTATTTAATACTCTAATTGAAATTCCATTCCTTTGTAAAAAGCTACCATTTCATCCTATGCTGCAACGAAAATACAGAGATTATCTTTTTCTTTTTAAGAAAACAACATATGGATGAATGGAAAGCTTCTTATGATGCATTTACTCTTATTTTACATATGAAAGTTTCTTTACATTGATCCTTCTATGATTAAATTTCATTTTTACAGCAAATAAAATAGATGGAAGCTTGAATTGCCATCTCATCTTTTTTCTCAACAATTTAAACTAATTACATATAATTTCATTTCAAGGGTTGAAATAACTTGTTATAGTACTTAACATATAAATACTTGCAAAAGCTGGAAATGCATTTAAGGATGTCCTATAACTTCAATGGTTCAGCCATCACGTATGATTTTGTTTAAATGTTAGGATAATACACATAAAATTATAATAAATTTTATATTTGTAACTCTTTTTTTATATACAAGTTTCTTGTAATTATTAAGTATTATTAAGAATATACCAGTTCTGTGTGCGATAAGTGATTACGAATATTCGTTATATTTTTCTCTGGTAGATTCAGGACATCCTTAAATGACCAGCATAAGGTTCCTGAACATAGAGAACTTATGTATATATGAATGCTTCTGATGATTAATCTTCTAAATTTCTAAATGCCTGCTGAATATCTTCATGTAGCTGATCAAAGTCAGCCCTGATCTTTGCCTCGCCGTCTTGTACTGGATCCTACACGAAGGAAAAAAAAAGACATATTTTTCACATATTTTTAAAACATGCAAATAAAAATAGTAATGCTTACCTTGAATTTCATAGAAGACAACTGATAGAGAATATTGTACATGCTATCTCTAATGACATTCCACGTTATTTTATTGTCTGATTGCGCTGTAGATTCGACTGCGTGCCTTGCCATATCATAGAATGCAATCATGTTTCGTAACATTCCAACAGTTTTGTAAAATGGACAGAATCGATCATACGGTGAATAACTAGCATGAAAAGGAAAAAAAAAAAAAAAAGAAATTGAGATCAACGAGCAATCTTAAATATAACCATGGTGAAAAGAGAACTCCTACCTGTTTTGTTGCAAGAAATCATCTTTTAGAAGTTTCGCAACTTCTAGAGTAATTTTATCTGTCTCAGCAAGAGAAGCTTTACCGACTAACTGTACAATTTCTGACAAATCTTCTTCCTCCTGTAAGATCTCCTTTACTTTTGTTCTCAAAGGGACAAACTCCGGGAAATTTTTATCATAGAAATCGTCTAAAGCCCGGAGATATTTACTGTATGAAATAAGCCAGTTAATGGATGGAAAGTGTTTTCGTTGTGCAAGTTTCTTATCAAGACCCCAGAATACCTAGAAATATAGATAGATAAACAAATTATACGAGTAAAAATAAAAAAATAAATTATATAGATGTACGAATACTAATTCTTAGTACCTGTACGATACCCAGAGTGGCACTAGTAACAGGATCGGAGAAATCACCACCTGGTGGTGATACAGCACCTACTATACTGACAGAACCTTCACGGTCGGGATTACCCAAACATTTCACTCTGTAAACAATGTTTAATATCAATAATATTATCAATTAACATATATGTATGTTATTGTGCTATATGGAATTGAAATAATGGAAATTGAAATTACCTTCCTGCACGTTCATAGAAACTAGCTAAACGAGCTCCAAGATAGGCCGGATAACCGGAATCAGCAGGCATTTCAGCCAATCGACCAGAGATTTCACGAAGAGCTTCTGCCCAACGAGATGTCGAATCAGCCATCATAGACACGTTGTAACCCATATCTCTAAAGTACTCTGATAGAGTGATACCTGAAATAAAAGTCAAATATGTTATTTTTAAATTTGTTTTACCTTTCTTTTATTAACATCCGTATAATTTACCCGTATAAATGGACGCTTCTCGAGCAGCTACAGGCATGTTTGAAGTATTAGCAACCAAAGCTGTACGCTTCATGATAGATTCGGTGACTCCATCAATTTCCACCGTTAAAGTGGGAAAATCACGTAGTACTTCAGACATTTCATTACCACGTTCTCCGCAACCGACATAAATAATAACATCGGAGTTTGAATACTTTGATAAAGCTTGCGAAATTACAGTTTTACCACAACCGAAAGCACCTGGAATTGCTGTAGTACCTCCTTGAACGCATCTGTAATTTTTTATTAATAAATGCTATGAGTTGCGTATAAAAGTGATTAAATAAATTCTTACGGGAAAAGTGAGTCCAAGACTCGTTGACCAGTAAGCAAAGGATGATTAGCTGGTAATTTTTCAGTAACTGGACGAGGTTGACGTACAGGCCATACCTGCGTATTTAACATATTATTGTTATCATTAAATATTAATACTATTAACATCAATGTTAAAGAAAAAATTATTTACATACTTGAAGCATGGTATATTTGTGTTTTTCACCATCAAATTCTGTTTCTAAAACAACATCCTGCAAAATAAAAAATATATTAGATCCCCATGTAAAATAATTGAATTGCTCATCCATTGATGTATAACTCACAGATACTGTATAGTTCCCAACAGGTGCAATATAAGTTACAGTACCCTTGCTTTTTGGAGGCAAAATCATTCTGTGTTTCACTAATGTGTTTTCATAAACCACACCAAACAGATCTCCGCCAGTAATGTGACTGCCATTTTTAATATTAGATGGATTAAATTCCCAAACAGTGTTTCTTGATAATGCTGGGATGTTAATACCCTTTGGGATGTAAATGGAGCTAGTAAGCTCGTTGATGTCCTTCAATGGTCTTTGAATACCATCGAAGATATTACCAAGTATACCAGGTCCAAGTTCTACGGACAATGGTTTTCCAGTACGTAAGACAGGATCACCTACAGTTACACCACTGGTTTCTTCATACACCTGTAATAAAATGTAAATACACTAATATAATAAAAGCTAACATTAACATAATAAATTTTAAAACACATTGGAACAGTTTATTGTACCTGGATAGTGGCCATGTCACCTTCTAAACGAATAATTTCTCCTACTAGTTCATAGTATCCTACTCTGACCAGCTCATACATAGCCGATCCTGACATTTTCTCAGCTGTAACCACTATAAAGAAACAAAAATATGCATTAAAATTAAAAGTATAAAAATATTACATATTATATACTAACCAGGACCAGATACAGCATATACATAGCCAAATTTGGCTTCCCTCTCTTCATTACTGATTTTTGGCAACCCTTGGCTCGTCATTGTGAATTATTATTCAAGTAAAAGCAATAAACAGCTGAAAATATTTTGCGTCGTGAGATATAAACGAAATTACACCAGCGGAAATATAATAAACATTTAATTGAACAAAAGTTAAATTAACACCTCTAAAATATACATTTTCTAAAGGAGGAATTGTTACAACGAAACACGAAGAGTATGTGGTTAATCATTCCAAGAGGATTAAGCTTCGATTTGACAACAATTTCAAAGAATTAAGATGAATCTATGGGTCACGATTAGAAGATTAAATTGATATACCAGTTCAGTCTGACAATGCTAATCAACAGCAGCTAATCGCACACTAACAAAAATATGAGGAAAAAACGAGGGATAAAAAGACAACGATCGAACAATATATTCCGGATTGTGTGTTCCTTACACGCGGTCTATGTCAATTACGAAGAGAATCGGTGAGAAAGTCGATGTCAGCTAACTCATCCATTCATCATAAAATTCACGTGAGCAGTTCATTTAAAAAGTAGGCGTAGCCCTCTTCGAGCCCGCGAGACGGGTCTGCTCGCTTTAATAAGAATGTCGGAATCCAATAGATGTATTCGTCGTCGAAATAGAACGTTTTCTATGTAAGTATATACGGGTATCAGTGATTCCGTCCAGTCGTAGACGATTAAACCGTACAAACTCCCGTCCGGATCAAAAAAACGATGGCGCATTCAAACTGGCACGATCGATACTATACGCGCCAGTCTTTTTTGCAAAAATCTCCGGTTTCCTCTATATAGTACGAAATTGTTGCAGTTGCTTTGGCTGTATAGTGAATCAAGGCAGAGTGTGGTAATCTACAGTCAACGAAAATAAATGACAATAAGAAACTTACGAGACGTGAAATTGTATCGAAGTTATATCCAGCCTACTACAGCGAGTCAAGCTTTACAATCGAGCCTGCTATCACAAGACAGGTCAGCTGACTGAACGATGTGCTCGTTTCCAATTGTTCAGCTCTCCTTGGTTAAAGGTAGCATTCGCAAGTAAGCGAATTCCTAGCAATCGCTTTTGTGACATAACGCGCGCAATAATTATATCCATCTTTGAATAGAACTGATGAAAGATCATTAAAATTAGAATTTACTAAGCTAAGATAATCTTTACTAGTATAATCATTATGGATTATATATATATATATAATTTAAAATATTTTTTTTTTAAATATACGAATCAATGTAAAATCATTTTCAAATTTCAAATACAATCCTGGTCAATTATGAAGGATAAACTTAGAATATTATTCTTTAATGAGAAAATATGTAGTACCTTCATTTTAATTTCAATACATGAGTACTCATTATTTATGTTATTGAAAGTATGAATAAAACAATTGTACTATCAAAAAAGAGAAAAATATATGTAAAAATATATATATCTTTATATCTATGGATCGTTATCTTTAATACATTTATCTGGTAGGAAATTATGTAACTAAGCAACAGTGCATTTGAATATGGTCGTGTATAAATGTATGTGTATTTCTGTTTCATGCTACTATTATTATATATATATAACCGTGCATAGACTATGAATGCACTGCAGGTTTATTAAAACTTTTCCTGCGTCAACATAACATCCTCGTTCTGCTACAATCTGTCGTAAGTGCAACAAAGTAATTATACTCTCTCCCAAGGTAAGTCTCCCAAGGAAATCTCTCCCCGAGAACTTCGTTCTTTACTCACGGGAGCTATAAAAATGTGGATGCAGCCGGGGAATTGACAGTCGCATCGTCCTCCTGTCACAGTTTACATTGTTATTTGACAATCATTCGTGCAGTTGATTCAACGTTTTGACAATACGTTAAAGATTTCCACTTTGACAGTTACTGACAATAGATGTGTATAACAAGTATCTAACCATAAGTGAAAAAAAAAAAGAATTATTCGTCCTTCAAACATCATGGATATCAAGAAATTGAAGGAATTCATGGAACTGGTGGGCAGATTAAAGGTAAAATAAAATTTATTATTATAATTGTGATCAAAAGATTTTTCAATGTAACTCTGTGTAGTAAATATAAATTTATCATTTCTGTGTACATGTATGTTGCGATGTATATGTCATGTATCCATTTTTAGCATTCTTAATCAGCTAGGATCTACACGTGCGCATATAGTTTTAAAATTATACGTTTGTTATACAATGATTAAAAGAATATTTGTTTATTCTTCCTAAGGTACTCTGGATAAAATGTGAAATCTTTATATTTTATCTTAAGCATTCATATGTTTATTTCTTATACATTTTTTGAAAATATTATTATTAATTTTTTTTTCATTAGAAATCAAAGATTAAGATATTTGTTTTATGATTTTAGCACATGAAAAGAACAGGATGGGTTCTTAAAAATGTGTCTGATCCAGAAACGATTGCAGGTCACATGTATAGAATGGCTATGCTTTCTTTCCTAGTGGATAGTAATGAGAATTTAGACAAAGTCAAGTATGAAATGGTATTATTTATATCATCTGATTATGACTTGCATTAATGAAAGTTTTATATCTATAAATTATTCTTTTGCCAAATACAGAATCATGCAGATGACTTTAATCCATGACTTAGCAGAATGTATCGTTGGAGATATAACACCTTATTGTGGTATTCCACCTGATGTAAAACACAAACTAGAGGATGAAGCTATGGAGAACATTTGTAAACTCCTTGGAGACAGAGGACCTATGATATTGGAAATGTTTCGTGTATGTAGAGTTGACATAAATTATAGATACAATACAATACACGTATAAATTATAATTAATAATGTTCGTATTTTTTCTTCATTTACAGGAATATGAAAAACAAGAATCCCCAGAAGCAAAATATGTTAAAGACTTAGACAGATTAGATTTAATTATGCAAGCATATGAATATGAAAAAAGAGACAATATTCCTGGAAAGTTAGAGGAATTTTTTTCTGCAACTGATGGAAAAATAGGACATCCTTTTATTAAACAATTGGCATCTGAAATTACTGCAACAAGACAAGCTCTATGTTGCAGTTCTGCTAGTTCAATATAAGTCTTTATCTGTTTAGGGAAACAAAACATCATATATTTCATAAGCATATTTAATAATTACAATATAATAATATTTTGACAGAGAATAAAGATACATGTTTAGAACTGCTATTTAAAAAATATTTGACAAAGTAATATTTTTCTTTATTTTCTGTGAAAATAGAAGCCTACATAAGTAATGTAGGCTTGTTAACCAAATTTATTTAACAGCGAAATATTATAATATTGAGATAAACACTTTGAAATTTAATATCAAATAATTTTAATTGATCATTATCGATTTTGTCTGCGATAAATAAATAAATATAATTTTAATTGAAGATTAATGAAGATTAATAAAGTTCGAAGGTTAATGATAGGATAAAGAAAATAATCATTATTTCAGTTTGTTTATCCTTATTTGATTTCAGAATTTAAATTAGAATTATTATTTATTTAAGAAATTAAATATATGCAATAAATATGTACAATTTTATGGAAATATATATAAAGAAATTATTAAATATATTATTCCTTTATATATATTGTTAATTTCCTTTAATTCTAGATTATATATATATATCTACTCATTTCTTAATACAGTTTATGTCGAAGTAAATAAAAATGATTGATAACATTTGTGAAATCAGATAAGATATATCTATACATATAAAGTTTCATGTCAGTAAAAATACATTTTACAGTATTAAATTTTTATGTAAAAAGATCAATATTATTGCTGTTTGTTAATATCACATGTTGAACATAAAACATTATATTATTGTAACTGTAGTTATAAATACAAAAACATAAGTAACGAAATATTAATATATAATAAATTAACATGAAAGATATCCATTTCTTTGTAATAAAATCTTTGCATTTCTACTTTATTACAAATTAGTAAGAAAAAATACTGAAAAATTTTATTGGTGTAAAATAAAAACCATTAACGTTAAAACTCTGAAACTTTTTTATTATACTATTGAAATATGAAATTCATAACTTTGTTGATAACAGGAGCAATTACGTTACTTGATATTACTTTAAAGAATAATTAAATTTTGTAATAAATTATAAAAATGTTTGCAAAGAATAAGATATATTTTTTCAAATTCACATTTTCAACATATGTGTAGTCTACAATGCTAAAATATTATGTATTTATATATATACTTTTGACGCGGAGACCGCTTGTTTTATCAATATTTGTTGAATCAATCTTCGACGGATATCTTTGACAAAAATCTGATTTAATATCAAGTCCCCACTACTTATTTTCTTATACTGCTTTTTTATCACATAAAAATGCAGATGAAAAAGTAATTAAGTAAAAAATTTGGAAAGAGAATTTGTACCTGTGAAGAAGCAATTACACGTAATAGCACCAATCTAAGGTAAGTGGATTGATTGTCATTAAGTATTACGAATCATGCAAGGTTAGTATGTGTAAACTAACCTTTACAAAATATATTTCTAGGGAAGAAGTAGATAGATAAAGAGCAGATATTTGTACGCTTATTATGCGAGGGAGTGTAAACAAGTTTAAACAAATCTAAAACAATTATACAACGTTAAGAAAAAAGCTGACTAAAAGAAGTCGTTTTAAAGCACGTTTTTTATTAATATTCCTTGACGTATACTATGTCAGACGAGGGTGCCAATTTTACTTATGAGAAATTTTGTGCGATGTGTAAATTACTTTTCAACATGAACAACATTGAAGAGGACGAATGGAGGTTGCGGGAGATTTTTGACTTATTTGACCTAGATAAAGATGGCGTGTTGAAGGAACGAGAAATGAAGATGTAAATATGAATTTATGTTCTTTTATAGCAAAATGCACAATTGATAATTTCCTTTTTTTTGGAATATATGAGGATTATATTTCAATTAATTGTATTTTACGAAGTTATGTAATCTTTATAACGTTAGATATACGTACCAATGCTATGAATTCATTTGGACATAGTTTATTTTGCACAAGATTGAAAGTGACTATAATCATATATTCTATGAGTAACTACTAATAGGAACAAAATTCGAATTAATTGTGGAAATGTTATATTAGTTGATTCATAAGTTCCCATGGTTTTCAGGAAAAAATTACTGAAGACTATTAAAAAATATAATATTAAAAACGCAATCAAAATTATTGAGAATTTTAACAGTAATGAAGTTCAATTGCAAGCTTGCTTGATAATAGTAATATCATATGACAATAAAATGTTGGGGTTCTAGCAAAGTAATGTATTAAGTTTAATCTGTATGTATTAAACTACTGAAGTTTCATCAGTATATTAGTGTTAACAATAAGTAATGACAAACTAGTGATTTTAATTTAACTAGTTTAAAATAAGGATTTTTTGATAATGAATATTATAGTGTACTTTCTCTTATGTATATGTTCTATTAAGAAACCAATTTGAACTTAAAAAACTTCTTTGAACAGAATAATGGAATTATATGTCTGTACATATAGGCAACTTATAATTTCATAAATAATTAAGCTGAAAGATAGCAAATAAAAATTTAGATAAGTAGCAACATAAAACAAAAATGTAACAATTATGTGTATATATAAATATTAATCTGTAGTTTATCTCTTTTTTTTCAATGCCATTTGAAGCATCCATAACTTAGAAATAAATTTAATTCAAACTTTAACTCAAAGAGTATTGAAATAGTTAATTGAAATATAAAAATTATACTGCTCTTTATATTTTTGTAAATCAGTTATTAATATTTTTCTGTAAGGGTGTGTCTCTTCTCTTATTATTTTCTTTGCAATCTTTTGATAATTTTTGAACTTCTTGCTTGAAGAATTCCGTTGTTTTTAATGCAAAATAATCTTTGAATCATTCATTGTTATAAAAGAAGAAAGTAATAGATAATTGAAATGAATAATTGAAAGATTTTAAATGATATTTTTATTAAATTATAAAACATAGCTTTATCGTATTAAGGTAATATCTTTTATCAATTTTTTATCGGATACTTTTATATACTTTTATATCGGATATTTTAATACTGTAATAAAAGAAGAAAACAAGCTATCAAACATAACCAATAAGCAATATTATGACTTACAGTAAGAAATAAAAACTACACAAACTTATGGACCAACTTAGTATTAATTCTTCTATTTAAAACACTCAGATTTAATTACGAGTTTTACTCAATTAACAGATTTTCGGATTGGACACAAAAGATAAAAGAGTCTAAATATGCTCTTGTAATCGTAGACGTTCAAAATGATTTTATTGATGGCTCCTTATCTCTTCGTACTTGCGAAGGCAAACAGGATGGAGTTGATGTGGTGGGGCCAATTAATCATTTAGTGCAAAATGGATGTTTTGCTAAAATTATTTATTCGTTAGACTGGCATCCGGAAAATCATATCAGCTTTTATGAAAATTTACATTTGCGGGAATTTCATTCTGATTCAAAGGTATATATGTATATAAGACAGTCGCAATTCATCATTTTACTGCATCATTTTACTTATAATAAGATTATATCGTATATAATATAATAATTAGACTGTAAAATTATACAAAATATCTAAAGCATAGAATATGACTATAATATTAAATAAAACAATTCACCTATTGAAATTCTATTTTTAAAATTATATTTGTGAAGATGAATTTATAAAAATTTAATAATACGTAAATTATAATGTTATCATGTCATGAAATGTAGATCTTCTTCAATTTCCATATTCTTAAAGTGATAAGGATAAATGGATAATTTAATCAACAATTTTCATCAAGTATTTGAGTTTTATCATACTTTTAAATATTTAAGTTTTATCATTTCTTATTACATACATAATACCTTATGTTGAATTTTAATGTCTTTACTAGTACAAAATGTTTCATTCTAATCACATTTTGTTAAACAAGGATAATATATGTTCACTTCAAAATTTATGATCGCGCGGGTTTGGAATTTAAATATTTAAACTTGATTTTTTATTTTTTTTTGATTGCACCAAAATAACATAGATCATTTTTATCAAACAGAAAATAGAAATAGAAATATGAGAGAAATAATAATCCTTAAAAACATAATAATCCGATAAAATATCTTATATCGAGGAAGTAATTGTCTAGATTCAAAAATGTTCGTAATTTTGAATTTAAGGAAAGCTTTTTTTATTTTAAAAAGTAAAAGCTAAAAAAAGTATTTTATTAAGCATAGGTGAAAAAGGAAGATGCTAAGCTATTTGATACAGTTATATTTGCGGATCCTTATTCGGAACAAATTCTCTGGCCTAAGCACTGTGTGATGAATACATGGGGAGCTGAGTTACACAAAGATCTTGTAATTGCACCAGATTCAGTACAGGTATCTTTGGTATTTCATTATAGTAAAATAGTAATTTAATTTAATTAATTTAAAATTTATCTAATTTATTTATTTATAAATATTAAAATATTAATTTAAATTAAATAAATTTATCAATTTTTAATTAATTTAAAATTTATCAATAAAATGAAAATAAAATATTGAAATGATAATTATGTTTTCCTTTTTAGATACGTAAAGGTCAAAACCCAAATATGGAAGCTTATTCCGTGTTTTTCGATAATAATTTTAAAGGATCAATGGAATTACAAGAAATTCTAAAGAAACACGGTGTGGATCGCGTTTTCGTGTGTGGCCTTGCTTATGACATTTGTGTGAAATCTACATGCTTGGATGGCCTTCGATTAGGTTACGCAATAGCTATTGTCGATGATTGTTGCCGCGGTGTTACTGCTCCTGATACTGAAGCGACTAAAAAACTAATCTATGAGAATGGAGGTTTGATTACTAACAGCAACGATGTTCTTGCAATGGTAAATGAAGGAAAACAAAGCCTCGTTTTGGCTCATAAGATTGCAAAGTCTATGACTTCGATTGATACCCGTGAAAAAGGAGAAAATATTTTAAATAATATTTCATAGTTAATCGAGAAAAATTTAGATTGTTTGAGAAACAGGTTTTATTTATAATAAGATCTCTAAATGATCTAAAACTTATTTTTTATATATTTTTTCAATATTTAAAACCATTATATATATAATGAATTATTCTTAGTTTATCGTACTTAAATAATTTGCAGTTTTTATATCGATTATGTGAGCTTGAAATAATTTCAACATTAATGTTGAATTTAATATGATTCTTTGTAGCTAGTACATTCCCTAGCGATAGAGTGAAAATAATTCTAGCAGAGTGAGACAGGCAATGCATTTTGTTATACTTATTTAATTTTGACTTTTATTTTTCGTACGTTACTATACGTTAGTTACTATAAATAATGAGTACTTAACGTGAACAAAATGCTTCAGTTACTTCAAGTGAAAGAATGCACTAGATTTTCTAACAGTATTATAAATAGTGATAAATAAATATACATGTAATAAATACAAATTACATATCAGTCATAACTAAACCACCGATTCTTTTGTGTATTTGTAGAAAATTTTAAAGTACAAAATTGTTTGAAAAGAATATATAAAACATTCGAAGTACATATAACTTTTAATATGTATTAATTTTTTTTTTTACCGAAAATTCTATTTTCTTGATCTGAGTGTTTAAAATTACCAAAAGTTTAAAAGTTATCTGTACAATATTCTAGTACAAAACAGTACTAGTACTAAACAGTCAAAGGATTAAATGATATGCTTAAGAATGATGCCCTTAAGAACCAGTATAAAAATCCAAAATCTAGTTGCGATAATTGATACTATTCGTTCATTAGCATTCTTGCAGCTTTTTCAATTTTATTTGCTGACTCGTCATCTTTCGTTAATTTGCAAGCGTATTTGTGTTTAGCACCGCAATCATCGCTTTGATAAGAGTACAATCTGGACGTTGAATTGTAGGATAATTTTAGACATCTAGAAATATAATCACGAAAATATAAATATTTGTAAATATTAAATGTACGTTAAAAATATAATAATTGTTATTAATCATTAATATTGATTAACACGTATTTAGTAACATAGTAATATATATTTAATACTAAAATGAAGCAACAAATTTACCTGCCATCACCAGGGACAGTGTGTTTCGTATTTTGATATACTGGTTTTGCACTGCTAGCCCAAATCCAAAGAAGACCTGGATTCAATCCCCCTGTCCAAAAAGTTTTACCTTTGAATTTAGAATTTGTTTGTAAACTAGCTAATACATCCTGTTTTTCGTCTTTTGTATCGAATTCCAACAAATAACCGCCCATTCCTCGACAGAGACTGGCCGATGACTTCCAATCAAAGTCACGATTACTGAAGTGATAGCAGTTTTCACCAATTTTCGTGTAATTCGTCGGACAGGACTCTGGAGAGAATAATAAAAAAGAAATTTCATTTATAATGGAAAAGAAAGCGTGAAAAACATCTTTCACAATTAAACAAATACTATTAGTGAAATTGTACAAGTCACAATTTTAATCCTTAATTATTTTAACTATGAATTGTCTAATTCACTTTTACCAGTTGATACATTATTGCGTAAAAAGGTCCAGGACCTTTACCTTTTTTATTGATGGTTCCGGAAATCACGTAATAGAGGAGCTCTTCCGCTCTTCTCAGACGACTTTCTAGAAAATCTACTCTATAGACAAGCTTCTCTATCGCTCCTGTGGATATAATAGTGAATATTTTATAAAATTTTGAAAACAAAAGAATAGTTACTTACATTATTACTTAAAATTTTACCAAGTAGATAGAGGTCGGTTTCAGAGACTTCACGTTTGTTTGGCATCGATATTTTACTTGTCACAGTTAAACTCTTATCCCCTAGTTTCATTACTTTTGACATCCTCTTTATTTTCGAGTTGGAAACAATCCAATTTTCTAGAATCTCACTCCACAGTCCTGTTGGTTCCATCATCGAAACATTTGACGAATTTGTTGCAGATATTGAGTACAGATCACCTAAAAGTACGTGAACAATCTTGTCCTTTTAATCTTAATAATTTAATTCTTTTTACATACCTGGAATTCCTATACTGACGCATGATAAGAAAACTAACAGAAGAAACAAGCTAAGAGAAATTTTGTGCTTCATGATAAACCTGAAAGTGGAGAACGAATTAAGAAAAACCATGACGAATGAATGTTTCTTTTTATTTCGTGAAACAGGCCATCTTCAACTTTCCTTGAGAAAGTTTAAGTAGCTGGGACGATTGATATCTCATGCAAATCGTTTCTTCGTCGTTTCTTGTTTAATGCATTCCAATTTTAATTGTTCATAATTTTATAGAAAATTGTATAATTGTACATTTTACAAATATTATTTCATAAACTGCGAATAATCTTAATTTTATTAGAAAAGAATGACCATCATTAATCTGTAGACATTCCTTGACTTTTTACAGACATAACGAAGATAAACCAGAAAGAAAGAAATAAAAATTTATCTCATCTGTCATATTTCATTTATTATTACTTTAGATATATTATCTTTACGTATTACGGTCATTCTGCGGATTTCTCATAGATACCAATTAACTAAATTATTATAAATTGTCATGTCAAATTTTGCAAATGCGTGATATCCACAGTTTAATCATTAATTATATTAATCTTTATTATATTTAATATTTATAATCTAGTGCTTTATTATCAGAGTTATAAGCCTTGATGTAATGTATACTTAAATACATGTAATACTATAAATGACTACAATAAAAACGATATGAACAAAATAAGGAAGTATGCATAATTATATTTCCCTTTTGAAAGATGCAAAAATGATAGGAAAACTCACTTACATAGTATTTGTAAAATAAATACGTCCTCTTAGATATTATCATGCCACTCTTGTTTTCTCCTGAACGCTGTTCACCTGTTCGATCCGTTTCCGTTCAGGTGTCACGTAAAACTGTCGAGCTCCTGAGACTGGGACAACATTCTTCTGCGGAAGACACTTTCTCTCTTCTCTTCAGAAAAATGAGTCACTTTCTTCGTTCGATTCAGTTGCGTCCTCATATTTCTGCGATGACCTCTTATCATACCTTCCTTCCTCTCATTTATACTCTTTTTATTTTAATTACGTGCTAATTAGCCTGATCAAATCCCATCTTGTAGATACAACTACCAAGTGAATTATGTCCAAATGAAAAACAAAATGAAAATTTTCGAGTATTTTGGAGAACTTTGTTTAAATAATATGTTACGTTACGTAAAGAGCAGGTCATTATCGAAATAAACTTTTATTTAACTAAAAACTTTATTTGCTATTTATTCTGTTCGATTTGAATCTCAAATATTTTTGGGTGCAAAACAGCAGAATGCAAAGATTTCTTATCACACCATCCTACTGACACAGTTCTCCGTACGAAACGGAATTTTCTCTTTTCCTTCACGTGTCCATTAATCAAAATTAATTTTAATTTATTCAGCAAGCTTCCTGTGTCAGTCTCACTTAAGTTAAATGTAAATCAAAGATAATAATAACACGTTATAAAATCTTTACACCTTTTTAAATAAAACAACTGTAGCTAAAGAACAGAATATTATCGTTTAATGCAGATCGCCTGCAACTACTATGTTGTATAGTTCACTATACACTTCGTATATACATTTTATTTAAATTCATTCAGTATCTGGCAATGTTATTACGCGTTTTAACAGTGTCTATTCATAAAGAAAGTTATTTATCGAAGTGGTCTACCGATAATTTTTTGACTCTTTTGACGATAGACGATAGAGTAATTGAACCCATTTCTCAGTCTTCGTGTGATTAAAAATACACAGTGAGATTAAGTCGTTCGTTCCCGATCTGATTGTTTCTGGACATTGTCTCTGCTGTCACCTCTACGCTATCCACTGTCTAAAAAGAACGGAGAAAATATTCATATATAATAATTCAATACGATAATATAATAATATTTATATACAATCTCGATTTAAAGAAATCAGCGTGTGTAAAAATTTCTGATTTATAATATAAAAACTTCTTTTAGAACACTAGATGTAGGTGTCAATTGTCCTTTTATTTCATTCTATCACTTTTCTTTTATCCTTTTGCAATCCAGATGTTCTTGTAACAAATCGTAAACTAATTGTATTCTACATATCATGTTAAAATTAAATATATATCGCATTGATATTAATGTTGGTATTGATATTTGCTATTAGAAAAGATACGATACCCTATCGTCATCATCCCAGGACAATTTCTTCACTCTTTGCGAAACAGAGCAAGCAGGCCACGCAGGTACCAAGGAATCCGGAAGATCTCCGGAATAATTGGAAGATTTGGAAGAGTCGGCGTTCAAGTTAGTTTTTAAGCTTAAGTCGTTCATGTTCTGGACCAAACCGCCGATATTGGGGATGTTGGACGTTGCCGATAATCCTGGAGGATTCGGAGCTGGAGCCACCTTGTGCCTTGCGTAAATCGGCACTTGCCTAGCTGATGTTACGCCTAATTTACAGAAAATAAGCAATAATTGTATGGAAATGAAAATTTACACAGCAATTCTAGAAAGAAACGGATTGAAAATAAGCTAACCAGATGATCCGATATAATCTTCAATCCTATGAAAATAATTCAAAGAGAGGAAAGAAAACTTCAAGTTAAAAACGATCAAGCTACGAACTGATTTAAAGATTTTCAATTGAATCAAGTAAATTGGATAAATTTGAAGATTTAGCGAACATGAAAATTTAAAATAATCGAATATCATTGAAAATAAGAATTTTAGATTATAAGAAATTGAACATCAAGTAACTCTTTAAGTTACTTTTAATAGTAGCGCCGTAGTTCCTCGCTGCGAAAACTGGATTTTCAACGTCGTTGCTGTCATTTTTGATTCCACGTGCTTCGCCATTGTTACCGTCGTCTACGATTTCCTGATCAACGTGATCATCATCCTCTAGATCGTCTCCAGCGTCGGCCTCTTCGTCGTTTTCATCGATGCTACGCGTATTCTCGATCCGAGTTCCTCTTCGAGGTATCTCCAAAGCATCCTGGAGCATATTAGCCCCGAGTACTTGAGGAGTTGGACTCAGAGCAGAGGGAACTGGCGATTTTTCTCTGTAACCAGTCCCTACCGAGCTTACCGAGCCACTGGTCTTTGGCCTTTTACTGTAACATGTTGTGAGAATTTAAAAATTCAGCATCACGCGTGACACGTAGAATATACATACGTGCATATGTTTACATATAAAAATATAAAAATAAAGTTAATACTCTATTTATCGACCAGTTTCTCAATTTTTTAATTAGAAATTCTACAGACCAACGAAAGAAATATTTAATAATAAGTTTTAGAAGAACATCACGTGTGGGAATTATTCAAGTGATGAATTTCACGTACTTCTTGTATATGTACAAAATTAAAACGAGTATTATAACACCAAGGAGACCCAGAACAGCGCCGAAAACAGCAACCAGGAGAACGCTGCTGCCCAACCAGGCAGGCGCGGCTCTCGCAGCAATCGGCAAGGAGCCACTATTTGGTATATGCACGATCACTGGGATCATACTGGACCTTTAATAGAAAAAAATCTTGTCTCCACTTTGATAAACGATATAATTCACAATCATTTGAATTCTTTTTTTTTTTTTTTTTTTGTCACAAACCTGGGGGGACGACCAGAATCAGAGGCCACGGCCACTAATCTGGCCAAAGAACCATTAATAGTTGCTGCTGATCTAAGGATTAATTCTCCACTGTCACGTATTTCGAATGACCTGTTTATTATGTATTATGTTTATTATCGTTTGCAGCGTCGAAACACATTTTGCTTTTCATTTGATTATCGTATATACCTTGCGTCTGGACCTCGGAGAGACAGACTGACTTTGTCGTTTCTGTCGCCATCAGCAGCTTCCAATTTTCCTAAGGATAGTATAACAATGACAAAGTAAAAAATATAAGAACATAGACAACGATAAAGTATAAATAAAGAATAAATAACAATAGATTGTTCCTATTGCTACGTTATTAATTTATTACGAATGTTAACTCACCGACAATGGATCCCTCTCTCAATGTCGCAGCGTGAAATTCATACCTGGGGTGACGAAATCTCGGTTCCCATTCGTTTACATCCTCGACAGATACATTGACACGGGAAGTGTCGTTCTGTAAATTTAAACATTGTGAAATATTTAATAACAAAGTTAAAAGTAAAAACTGCAGATAATAAATATTCTATTTTCATCGAACTGGATTAAAAATCGAATTCTGCTTTGGTGGCTGAATCATTAGAAGAAACGTACATGATGGCCGTCCGTAACACGAACCAAAAAGCTATGTTGAACCCTCCTCTCGTAATCAAGAGTGCCCTTCAAGATCAATTCGCCGGAATTGGTGATGGAGAACCTCTCCAAGTCCTCAATCGCACCCACGAGCCAGAATCTTAAATTCTAAAAACAGATTAAAAAAAAAAAAAAGAAGAAGAAGAAAACGATTTATATTTACGAAAGAGCGATTAACGTTGCGCCCTGTCTCTGATTCTGACTTACTGAATCTATTTTATTCACTCCTGTCGTTAATAAAACGCTTCCTGGAGGGGTATTTTCTGGAATGCTAGTCTGATGATCCCTTCGTATGAATTTTACTGGCAATCTCCCACCTAATTCACATTATTTCCAATTAATGTTTTCATTTTGTCAGTCTATGGCGAGTCTCGCGATCGTTTTTTGAAACTCTTAGCTTTTGAAATTCTCCAGAGTCGAATATTTCGAATCTTGTAGATCGAATATTGGACATCTAGGATTTTTCTAGCATTGGAATGCCAGTAATCTAAGATCTCCAGCAATCCTTTGAAATTTTCCAGAATCGAATTAAATCCAGTGTTGGAATCTTTTGAAATCGCAGAGTTTTGAAAATTTCTATCAACGATGGTATAACCGGAAAAGAAATGATTTTACGTTAAAAAAATACTTCAAGTCGAGATTTTTAATTAATTAAACCCGCGTGTAAGCAAATATTTGAAGTTGATCCTCTCGAAAACGAAACTCTGTGTAAAAAACGTATATTGTATTTTACCAATCGTTGCATTTATCAACCCATTGATTTTATCACACGAAAATATCACACTGCGTGATGCAAGGTAGCTAGAGAATCATTAGAGAATAATATAAATTTAGAAATTGTTTACCAGCAGTGGGCTCTACAATCCAATCCTCCTCTCGAGAGACGACTATAGTAGAAAGGGCATATTTGTCTGGATTGTCTATCTGCGTAGCCTGTAATTGAATAAAAATAACAATGTTAATAAAAGATATTAATAAAAAAAACTAATAAATACATAATAATTTACAAATTTACATTTACAGTAGATATTTATATCAATTAATTTCTATTGTCACGTATGCTTGCCTTGACCACAATCGTTGCTGGAGACAGGAGTTCATGCTCGTACAATGGTCGTGTCATGGCGACCTCAGCTGTTTCCGGATTCAGTGTGAGGAATGGTAGAATTCCTCCTTGAATTGTATACTGAACCGGAGCATTGATCCCTACATCTTGATCCATCGCTTTTATTGGCGCAGGATCTACTTTCAGTATCCTTCTCTGAAAGAACAAATTCATATTGTTCCTTTAACCATTTGTATCTGTATACCAAGGCTCAATCCTTTCCACTTCTAAGAAGAAATGATTTCTTTTTACTGATTATTAATCATAGAAACATAACTTTTGATGGTTTTGATAAAGAAAACACGATGTATCTAAATCTGAGACCAGTTTTGTAAATTATTGCAGGTACTTATATTTAGTTTCGTTTAATTTAATTAATTCCTCAACAATCCAACATTGTTAATTAATAATTCACAAAAATACAATACACCGAATTATCAAAAAGATGCTCGATTATACCGTTCTAATGCTCCGGGGAATGAGAATTTTGTACTGGTCACTTTGGAAGGCAGGATTTTGATCATCCGCGTCGATTACATTAACAAAGAGGGTCGTGGTCGTCGATTTAGGCGGGTTGCCTTGATCCTGTGAACATAAAATGATTTTTGGAAACAAATTGATCTCGAAGAACGCACGAAGAACGTTATTTTACTCACCTGTGCGCGAATGTCGACAGAGAAATTGGCAAGAGTCTCATAATCGAGTGGTTTCCTTAAAACTAGAGTGCCTTCCAAAGCATTCACGAACACGAAGTAATCCTACGAAAATTCATCGGCATTGTTTCTCTTTCATATAAAACAAGAGCGAAGGGAGAAAGTAAAAGATATTACCGAATGCGGCCCAGGCAAAACGGCATACTGTACAGTAGAAAATGGTCCCGGTTGGTCAGCATCCACAGCTCTGACACCTTGAAGAACCCTTGTGCCAACTACCGTGACCTAAATTTTAAAAGCGATCGTCAACAAGAAAAAAATAATCTTAAAGTATAAAGGAAAAATTTTTGCACTGTAATAAATGTCTTTTAATATATATATATAATTATATATTTTATTTTTTATTAAAAATATTAAATTTATAAATATAATTTAATCAATTTTATATAAATTACATAAAATTTTAATTTATTTAAAAAAAAACAAACATACATATACACATATATACAAAATATAATTATGGTTAAATTATTAATTAAATTAATATTTTATATATAATTAATTAAAATTAAATATCGCGCAACGTAAAATCACGTGAAAATACTTTTCCTTTAACGTTAAGTTAATTTTTCTCAGTCGTAGCGAATATTGAGAAAAGTCCTTTTTACAAGTCGATTAATCTTAAATTAATTTACAAGTCAACACAAAATTGAAATATAACGTCAAATGTTATGCAATCAGCGATCAAGTACTAACATGCAAAAGACACACTGTAACTATGCATCAAAGTATATTAACTGTTATAAATTATATTAAACCAGTGATATATAAAATATATTGATATATACATATGCAAAGAAACTAAGGAAATCTCCGTGCGTTAACCAAATCGAATTTATTTCTCACCTCAGAGATATTTAGAACGTAAGGCGCATTTACAAACTGTGGTGCATTGTCATTGGCATCAGTCACGCGAATATTGACCGGTATCACGAAACCCTGCAACAAAAGCAAGCGATCAGAACGACGCTTTCATGAAACTTTCCTTGAAACTTTAAGTGTATACGACTGTATAATATACATATGTAATATACATAATTATGTATGTCGATGCACGTACAGGATCCAGTGTATGTTTCCGCTCGCAAATTACGTTTACATAAACGCTGGCAGGCCCGTCGATGCCTTCTTTGTCCAGCGGTCTGACGAGTGTTAGATTCTTGGAATAGGCTGAGAAAATCACTGGGCTATCGTGCTCCTGGAGCCTGAGTTCAATGTCACCCTGTGGTCCAGGATCACCCAGTACCCCAAGCACTCCCACGGTGTCACCGACTGGTAAATCCTCGCTGACGAAGAGGTGTGCAGCGGTGGCACCGTTCTCCAGGAAACATCTCGCATCACGGATCACTGCAATGAAATAAATACCGTGTTATCAATTCGACTGTAACATTAGATCGTTGTGCAGCGAAAATTAACCTTTGTACAGATAAATTTTGTACTGGAACTGAATTTAAGATTAATTGCATTGAAGAACGTTAAGAGACGAAATTGCATTACGATGCTTTCTGGGAAAACACATATGGGAAAACGAGATTTATCAAACAATTTTGTTTGTTCAATTGTCATTTGACAGCGAATTTCTATGTAAATTTATGTTTTCCAAAAACACATGTAAATTTATATTTTCTGAAAATACAATTAAGAAAATGAAATTTAGAAAAGAAAATTGTTTCGTGCACCAAGTATTACGGAAAACACTATATTTTGAATATATATAATATAATTCGAATACAATTGTAATATATAATATATAATATATAATATGTAATATATAATATATTGAATATGATTTGTACACTTCTTTTCATATCACGCGCATTCTGTGTAACCTTGCACGTTTAAGTTTTTTTATAAATGCATAAAAATTATGCAATATATTGAATCTCTCTATTTTTTATATTGTGATATCTCATACGTTCGTCTATATGTGCCTGTTTTAATAATTTCGAACAAAGGGTTCGAAGATGCTAACAGGAAGTGGCTTCGCATATTGAAAGCTAATATTTCTTCAGCTGAAGAACGATCATGTTCCTTCGATCCATATACTGGTATTGTGTGGTTTTTGGGTTTCCGGGTTTTTTAAAGAAGCAACAACATTTTTCGCCAGTTCAACTTATCAAACAGTGAGTTGATACAGGTAAAAATTTCAAGTTCAACAGAATGGCGAGGAAATTAAAATAAGATCATTTATTTTATACGTTGAAAAATTTGAATATCGCAAAATTATAAGAATCTTCAATCTTTTCTACATGTTCAAATTGCTGAACTTATGTTACAGGCTATATCCTGAAGCTTGGAATTTCATTTTTAGCTAGCTCGTGCCGTTCTCGCAATTAAATGTAAAGAAATCCACGGAAGAGAACATGTAGCAGTGTTAATTTCTCCGCGTTTGTCGAAAGGAAACGAATAATTTATTATAGTGGCCTCTTCGAAGGTAAAAAAAAAAAGAAAAAAACGATCAAGATAACCGTTCGTAATAAGATCGAGTCAGTGTAAAGCGATCATTGCCTCTAATTCGTCGTGCATCGAAGCCTCTCTTGCCCGTTATTTTTCTAACTTGCTTAACTGTACTGTTTCTCTGATGGACGGGCAAAAGGATACGAGTCGAACTGTGATCGATACAAGCGATCATTTCTAAAACGGGAGAAGTGTTTCTAAATTGAATGCTACGTGCTAATTTGTAAGACCAGTGGGACGAGACGCGTATTATCAACTTTCACGTCCAAAATCTAACACTTTAAATACAGCAACTTATTGTTGTTAATGGAATCGCTATTAAGAATAATTCCATTGTTAATAAAAAGTGAGCATTAAATGGGATTATCTTTCGTCTTTAGACTCTGTAGCGTGAATTGAAACGATTGACTAAAAAATCGTCAGACTTCTAGTTTAAATGCTTTGCCGCAAAGTTAATAATTCTATCTGACAATAATATTTAGCAAACCAGTTAATATTTAATATCATTAAATATTATAATATTTATAGTTCTAATAATAATAATATCAACTCTTTTAACAAAGATGTAACTAACATAACAACCAAAATTCCTAAATCAATTCTCCGAAAACGACCAAAAAAATTGTGACACCCCCCCGTTACACAAAATATCACGATCCATTCTTGATATATAAAATAAAAAACTTTTTTTATAAAAAAAAAAAAAAAAATACATCTTATAAAAATAAAACGCAAAATTATACACACAGTTACGTTGCTTCATTCTAATTATAAAAATTCAAACATCTATGAAACGTACACTGTTTTGTTCCCAATCAAAGCACCATAACGGGCCATAGTAGAAACCTACATTTCGATGGTCAACTCGGCATGTGTGATCGTCTACATTTACAAATTAGTTGCACAGATGAAAAAGCGAATTAACACATTGTAATAAGTGGAAATATACGTGCGCGCGTGTGTGTGTGTGCGTGTGAGAAATGTGTGTACATAGAAGTTATTTAACAGGAGCGCGTGCACGAGGAGTTAGAAGTGTGCGCTCCCTTGGAGCGAAGTTCCGGCTGCTGCCAGCTCACGGCGTATCGACGATGCAACGTTCCGGCGTTGCCTTTCGTAATCTTTTTCCCTTTTCAGTCAGAGAACTTTTCCAGAAGAAAATCTCATTGTATTGCTTCTGACTCGATGGAGGAAGTTCTTCTATCTTAACTTTATCTTAAAACCGTCCATTAAAAGTTAATTGTTAACACAATTGTTTACTGACACGCGAAATAAAGTAAATCCGCGCGAAATAAAGTACAGTTTGTACAATAAAATTCTGCGTGAGGAAACGCACGTCTTGGTTTAATGTTTCTTTCTCTCTCTCTTTTTTTTTTTTCTTTTCTGCGAAGTCTCGTGAAATTGCGGATTCTTGGAAAGGATCCAGGTGCGATAAATTGGAAATCAATTTCATCGACACGTGCCAATGATCAGGCTAATAAAGCGTGGCGAATTATCTTACGATGCGACTGTTACACGCCAGGGAAGAAAAACAGAGGGATAAGTGCGAGTTCGCACGATTAGGCGAAGGGAAACGAAGTAAAACGTTCGTTTAAGCGTTGTCTCGACAAGCTTCCTGGCTGTTGTGATAACTCCACTCTACGCTAACTAATTATCATGCAAATGAGAGACAATAATTCCACGACGGGACGAATCAACCTTCTTTACAAGCCACTGGTAAGAATATATTGTAAACTTGTACGAGACTGTAACTAACAATAAGAAAGAGACACGTGTGTTACCGTTAACTGCATACGCAATTGCACGACAAGATAAAGGCCGCTTATGGCAGAAATAAACGACGATTTATGCGAAGAAATTAATTAACTGTTAATCTTAACTAATTCTGGTGAACTACTAGAATTTAAATTTACTTCGCAGTTACTTTGATAAAAGGAAATCTCCTTTGAACGTGTTATCGTTTTTTAATCTATTCGCATCCTGCTGGCCTGTTGTATTTAACAATTTACATTTATATTTGACCTGATTCAATGTTTTATTATATATTTGTTGCATATTTGAACTGATTCAATAGTGCAGTTATTATTGCTTAATCATTCGTGTAATTTTTTAGTTTGTAATACTTATATTCGGAGGAGGATATTTTATATTTTAAAAACATTAATCATACTATTTTTTTTAATGTTCTAATATTTAATAGTGTAATATTTTAGTACTTTAATAGTTATACTTTAATATTATCCACTCCACCCCAATATTTTCATTAGCAGTCTATTTTATAATAATACAATACATTAACGGAGAATATTAGTATTTTAATCGGATAAAATTATGAACGATCAGTTAAGTTATACTATTTTTTTTAACATTCTAATATTCAATAGTGTAATAATTTAGTACTTTAACAGTTTGATACTTTAATATTTGTATTATCCACTCCACTCCAATATTTTCATTAGCAGCCTACTTTATAATAATACAGTACATTAACGGAGAATATTAGTATTTTAATCGGATAAAATTATGAACGATCAGTTATACTATTTTTTGTAATATTCTAATATTTAATAGTGTAATATTTTAGTACTTTAATATTTGTATTATCCTCTCCACTCCAATATTTTCATTGGCAGTCTACTTTATAATAATACAATACATTAACGGAGAATATTAATATTTAAATCAAATAAAATTATTAGAACGATCTGTTAAGTTATAGACGATCAATTGTATAAACTTTAATGAATCTTTCAGTCCCAACGTGTTGGTCCGCACTTTGAGTCGCAACGCAGATCGGGCAATTTATTAAAAATAAGATCTAGTTACTGTTATCATTATTAAAACCCTACGTATCACTGTTCAATCTTCAAGTGTTCTCTTCGATTTTAATTGAACGTGGCTATTCTGCTCGGCAAAAAGCGAATCGAATTAAAAGCAGTTGAGAGCGCAACGAAACGGAGTTTGGAAAGTATCACTGGCTCTCTTTTATTACGGCCTAATTACCATGCGCGCAAAATGGCCGGCAATTTCTACGAGTGTCCAGCAACCGGGAAGAGAAACGGAGACACGAAAACCGGGATATCTCGATTTTCGCAATGCAACGACTTTCTAAGTTATCCGATCCTTGTCCACGGCTGGACATGTCGCCGAGAATCGCCCAAGGGAAACGAAACGGACTAACGCCTGGTGCTGGCGAACGACGTAACGTCGTTTACGATTTCACATTGGTGACATTTTCCCGTTCGAGCGAAGAAAAATTTCTGTTTTTAACAGAGGAAACATTCGATACGTTTAAGTTGATTTCGTCACTGGAAATTTGCAATTCGTAGAATTCTCTCTCTCTATATATATATATACACATATGTAATGTAATAGGGAAATTGTATGTTTTACACAGATTTCGTCATTAGAAACCAGCGATTGACTAAATTTATACTTCTAGCATAGAAATATGACTGTTCACTTCAAGTTGATTTTCTAATTTTTGTTTTTACTATTGTTATTATTGTTACGGATTTTTTTACACTTTTCTTTTGTTTATAAGAAATTGAGCCTATTTACTTTAAAAAATGCTTCAGTTAATAAATATTATAGTAATCAGCACGATTTGAAAACTTGCTGCGACTGATTATAAGCTATCATTTGGTATCAAATTTAATTTCAAAGTTAAGAGGGACCGGATATGGATGAAAAGACTTTTCATTTTTTGATCATTCTTGCATAATACAATTGCGAACAAGAGAAATTTCGAAATCGACATAATTATACGTGTATAGATAAAATTTTGATTATTCATATTTATATATAATATAATTCCAATATTTTTCTAACATTTAATATTTTTATTCTAACATTTCTCTAATAATCGTCTATTCAACAATCTTTGATTTTTCTAACATTTCTTTTAACTTTTAATATTTATAATTCGTACAATTCTCTATATATGTATACACATATGTAATGTAATAGAGAAATTGTATGTTTTATACAGATTTCGTCATTAGAAACCAGCGATTGACTAAATTTATACTTCTAGCATAGAAATATAACTGTTCACTTCAAGTCGATTTTCTAATTTTTGTTTTTACTATTATTATTGTCGTTACGGGTTTTTTACACGTTTTTTTTTTGTTTATAAAAAATGGAGCCTATTTATTTTATATATTTATAAGAAATGTTTCAGTTAATAAATATTATAATAATCAGCACGATTTGAAAATTTGCTGTGACTGATTACAAGCTATCATTTGGTATCAAATTTAATTTCAAAGTTAAGAGGGACCGGATATGGATGAAAAGACTTTTCATTTTTTGATCATTCTTGCATAATACAATTGCGAACAAGAGAAATTTCGAAATCGACATAATTATACGTGTATAGATAAAATTTTGATTATTCATATTTATATATAATATAATTCCAATATTTTTCTAACATTTAATATTTTTTTACTCTAACATTTCTCTAATAATCGTCTATTCAACAATCTTTGACTTTTCTATTCATTTCTTTTTAACATTTAATATTTTTATTCTAACATTCGTCTATTCCAACATTTATCTATTCATTTGTTAATTATTAATTCTGTGCTTGCAATAGTTATGGTCTATCTATTTACTATTTGCAGCGTTCATTTGCACCAAGCAGTTGTAACATTTACTGTTGCCCAAAACTTGAAAAAGGAAAGACCGACATTCGCGTATTCGTCGAGTGCAAAAGGTTTGTTACCGCAATTTCTGCGTTGCTTCGACAGTTCGCACGCGATCAACCGTGTGATGAAACGGAAGACGAATGGCGATTAAGGTCGCGACCAAAATGGGAAGAGGAAGAAGGGGGACAGCGAGCGAATTTACGGAGCAGAAAGGGGAGGGAAGCAGCTGGCGTGAGAAGAAACTCGGAAGAAAACCCACATTGTCCGGCGTGTAAATGCAACGTGCAACAGAGGACAGGCAGGATCTTCAGAACGTTGTGTCTCATGGCGATCCAAGGACATCCTTCACCGATCCAGGCAACGGCCGATGCATCTGCAAATTGACGCGAAATTTCTATGATTACATTACTATGCTTATTTAGACGTTGCAGAAATGAATGTAAGGAACAGCTTGAAAGTTATAGACTGAAGAATCATGCGAAAATTTTGCTGCTTGAACGAACGATGTCGCAATGTGAAAATGTATATATAATTAGGAATGCAGGACACAGGTAATATTGAAAACTCTTTGAAAAGTTTCGCAACTCGTAATAATAATAACAATGATCAATAATATCTATTAAATGTTAAATGACAAATATTAAAGTTTAAATAACAATTCAGTAATAATAATTATTATTTATGTCCAAAAGTTTCCGAGATTCGTGACATTAATTTAATAATGATAACAAATAAGTGTAAATAATTTGCATAATAGTTGTTTAATAGAATTGTAACAGAATGTAGAATGTAATATATTATAATATATTATAACAGAATGTAGAATATAATAGTTATTTAATAGAATTATAACAGAATATAGAATATAATAATAGTTATTTAATAGAATTATAACAGAATGTAGAATATAATATATCATAATATATTATAACAGACTATAATAATAGAATTATATTAAATTTTTTCGGCAATTTTAAGCACCCAAATAAATTGAAATCCTGACAACGTACATTATTTATTTATTCATTCAGCTTGCTACAAATTTTACACTTCAATTTTATTTAAAACTATACTTTGATTTTATATAAACTATTTGATTTCACACTTTAATCCGAACGTTAATCAAGATTTGTTTTTCGCAAATGGCGTGACTATGGACAGACTCTCATAAACGAAAAGGGGGCGCAAACATTTGATCGATGTCTGAATCCCTGAGTGAAAGGGGCGAGAAGAATAAAATAAAATGGAATAAAAATGAAAAAAAAGGAAGAAACGATCGATGCATTCGCAACAGGGGAAACATAACGCGTGGTTAGAAAGCATGCGAAGAAACTGCTTTATTACGTGAACCTAGATACGTGGAACAACATTAACATGGCGAGTGGGGTTGGCGAGAGCGATAGTTTGCCGATCCTCCGTGTTCGGTACCCAAAGAAGGGCAAAGTGAATCGAATCGCGGAGGTAAAAGTAGGCTCGCTGATTGCAAAAAGTTCACGGCAGCTTGAGAATTGCGATTACCACTTCCTACCGACTCAGCATTTTTTTTTCTCTCTCCCTCTCTCCGTTTCGTTCCGCCTTATTTCGGCGCCTTATTCCTCTCTTCACGGAACCACGTTTTGAAACGAATAACAATTAAACAGGAAGTCGAACGCGTTGCAAGGAAATTTATGTAATTGGCAATGGAGGATAATTAAACACTCTTGCGAGGAAGAAAGTTGAATGAGACACAATACGTTGGACGAGAGAAAGATTTTCAGTTTACGTTTGTACGAGTGATTCTTTTTTTTTTTTTTTTTAAATGGAATTCGAAGGCTTGGCAGAATTTTAGTAAAGGGCGAGAGTGAAAATCAAAAAGGAAATTCTTTACTTTAACGTACGTTCTGCGCGGTTGTTAATTTATTTGAGTTTGAATATTATGTCCCTCTCAGAACATTCAAAGTTTCTGTTAATTATAGAGGCCTAAGTATATATTTTTTTAATATCAGAACTATCATTAATATGTGAAATTAAAGTGCAAAAGGAAATAGCAAAGAGTTTGTAATACGATAATTTAGATATTTCCGGGAAAATTAGAATTATTCAAATCTCTGGATAGTCCATTCGACTTGAAATAAAAAGATTTGTCATCACCATCCCCCATAATATAGTATAATTTTAGAGATATCAGTTGAAATAGTCAAGAAATTGAAGCTTGTTATTTGAGAAAAATGATAGTCATCGACAAGGAGCAATTACTAAAGTCGATTGTACGTATAATTATAAATTACGTATAAAATTGAAAGCCTAGTCATCAATTGTGTACAACCTAAAGAAACTAAATATTTTTGCACGAAATACTATCTACAAAATTGCCAATCTATCTAAAAGTTTATCTACGCTACACCAATTCTTCGCTGATAATTTCTAATTCCAGAATCATCAATTAGAACGTTCAAGGAATTGAAATAAATACTGATTATAGTGATCACGGCTAGCCGGGGGTAAATCGGTTCAAGTCGGCAATCACGTTTCCTGTCGGTTGAAACGGAGCGGTAAAAGCGATTGCATTTTATTTATTAATAATATTTCGACTGTTTTTTTTATTAATAAAATTATTTAAATAATACTTATAACATTATTATTATATATTTATAATATATATAGCGTCCTATATATAGAAATATTATAAATAAAATATTATTTACAATAATGTTATAAATATATTATAATATTATTATTATATAATATTTCTATAGTATAGTACAGTATAGCGTACGATATATAGAAATATTATACGTAAAATATTATTTATAATCCTGTTATAAATATATTATAATATTATTATTATATAATATTTCTATAGTATAGTACAGTATAGTGTACGATATATAGAAATATTATACATAAAATATTATTTATAATAATGTTATAAATATATTATATTATTATTACATAATATTTCTATAGTATAGTACAATATAGCGTACGATACATAGAAATATTATAAATAAAATATTATTTATAATAATGTTATAAATAAATTATAATATTATTTAATAAATATATTATAATAATATTTTCTATAGTATAGTACAGTATAGTACAATATAGTACAGTATAGGACAGTGTAGTACAGTATAGTACAGTAGAGTATAGTATAGTACAGTATAGCGTACGATATATAGAAATATTATAAATAAAATATTATTTATAATAATGTTATAAATATATTATAATAATATTTTCTATAGTATAGTACAGTATAGTACAGTATAGTATAGTATAGTAATAATATTTTCTATAGTATAGTACAGTATAGCGTACGATATATAGAAATATTATAAATAAAATATTATTTACAATAATGTTATAAATATATTATAATATTATTATTATATAATATTTCTATAGTATAGTACAGTATAGCGTACGATATATAGAAATATTATAAATAAAATATTATTTACAATAATGTTATAAATATATTATAATATTATTATTATATAATATTTCTATAGTATAGTACAGTATAGCGTACGATATATAGAAATATTATAAATAAAAAATATTATTTATTATTGTATAATATTTCCATAGTATAGTATAGCACAGTGTACTATACTATAGTACTGCTTGAGAGAGTAGGAGAGGCGGAAACAATCCTCGAAACCGAAAGAAAAATGGATCCGTCGTAGGGTTAAATGATTTATACGGCATACACGAGCCGGATACGACGGTTATGTGGGCCACTCTGTACTCCTCAAATTCACCGACCGTAACCTGAAACGCACTGCCACGGGCAACCGGCGTAAAGTCCTCCCTCCTGCTCGCGATTCGCGATGCCACCGATTCGATGTTGGAACAGCTCAAGGAACACAGCTCGATGAATCACTATACGTTGTTGTTCTGTCCCTGATTCTGAATACTCTCCGTGCCACCGGCCACTTTCACGATCGAAAGTACGGAAAGTACGTATCGATTTTTTTTCTTTGGGACAAACGGAGCAAATGGAACATTTGTATAATTAGGGTGGCCGTCCTCTACTTGTTCTAACGTTAAAACGAAGAGAGAATACGAGAGAACTCGTGAGGATAGAAAAGCTTTTAAATTATCGACAATTGTAGAAATTATTTGTAAAAATAAAGAGAAATATTTTGTTTGTAAAATTAAATTGTAAGAATTAAAGGAAGTAGCATTTTCTTTTTTAACGAAGTTAAATTGTCAGATTAAATTAGCGAATTATTGGATTGTTAGAACTTTGGTAAACAAGCGATCTTCGAATTTTTATGTTCCAATCCTACTCTCACTTTAGAAAACGAAAGGAATATACAATAGTCGTCAGAAGATGTTCCAATGATGTCACGTGACTTTCAACGCTTAATAATCGTCGAAAGAATGAATTATAACGTTTCAATGTGATATATTTTAGATATATTTGTCAATTAACTTCACACTCTTCGATCAAAATGGTTTTGTACCACTATATCGAGACCGAGAGGAGAGATTTTATTTTAAAATTAATAATTCTTCTGCCGTGAAAAATGCATAGTATCACGAGTAAACTGTTTTAATGAAACGCACGATGCTTTTAAGAAGCTACGCGTAATTAAGCATCTTTGTTTGAAAAAGGAAATGGCATTCCGTCGATCTGTAATAAATAATCTTACCCCCCCCCCTCCTCCCCCCATTTAATTAGTCTAGCTTTGTATTGGAAACAATCGAGCAGTTAGTCTAACTTTCGAGCTGCTTCATCATCCACACCCTCTGCACAAAGCTCCATCCACTCACCACAAAAATCCTATTAGACGATCAGACAATCAGCAGCGGCACTATTTCACTCTTCACCACTCAAGCTTCCAGTCTCGTCTCGCTTGTTTCGCTTGTATCAACGACCGGCAGCGAACATTCCTCTCAAATCATCGTCGTTGTTCATCACTAACTTGTTCACTTTGTTCGTACTATTGACGTCGCGACATCATTCAGTTCGACTTTTCGTTCGATCGAATCGATTCATCGCGAACAGGGACACACGTCGCGGTCCTTATTCTTCGACCGATTATTGCAATACAGCTTATATATATATCGTAATGGCGTGTGAATGTTTAAAGAAAATTCAAACTGCGCGCCACGCGCGAGAAACACACCGTGATAAACATCGATGGGGATGATCCTCGAGTTCTCTCAATCCTGTTTTCCTCCCTTTTCACGTTTCACGAACTACAAGTTTGATTTTAACATGTTCTTCTTAGACACGTTACGTTAGCTTTTACGTTTCTCTTTTTATTATTTTTAATCTTTCTGAATATTGTGCGTTACTTTTTAAATTGGCCTCCGCTCGGTTTCAATATTTCTGTAGATACAATATCTACGTATTTTTACTGCGTTAACGTTAATTCTCACGTTTAAAGAGCCATAAATTCAGCTCTGGTCATTTCTGTCGATAAGCTACTGACTCGTTTCAACGCCAGCGTTAATACTAACGAAGAATAGTTTGAAACTAGCACCTGTCCGCTGTTTTCGACCGGCAGAACTCGCTACTACGAAACACGGACGAGCAAAGAGACGCGGTAGACCGGCACTCGGGAAGTCGGTTCACCATTGTTAGGAAGGGGGGAATCGACGACCAACCGAGCGCCTTCCTGGCCCTGCTTCGAACAGGTGTTTACTTTCGTTGGCAGGAAATTCGACGACTACGTGTCCGCCACTGTGCAATAAAACCGCTCCTTCTTTTTTCTTCCTTTCTCGCTCTCGTGATAGCCGAAAATCCCGTGTCTGGGAAAACGATTCGAATGGTTATGGGGGCCTAACAACAGGCCGTTATTCCTCCAATTCTACGCAAGTATAGTGTACACTTTTAATTGCTGAAATGTTTCTTTGGAAGGGACAATTGTGTCTGGCTTGGTTTCAGTGTGTTTGTTTAATATGGGAGTTATTGTGACTGCCATTGTCTGGTGAAAGGAGAAAAAGAGATTACCCTTTAAAAGTTGAATAAAATAACTGTTAGCTACTAGAGTTTATTATCCGTAAATTTAAAGGAACACGAATATTTTAAATGTTTCAGTTGATTTTAATTGGTTAAAAGTGAATTAGTTGATTAAAGGGCGAATTCGATGTATGAATTCGTTCGTTGTTACTTATATCTGAATTCGAACCATCAAATTTTTAGCGAGTGAAAAGAATGCTTGTAAAAATTGTGAAAAGATAAAAGTAAAGTAGTTGGTTAGAATGGTGTTAGCTGTATGTAAGATTTTACAGAGAGGAATTTATCGCTAGGTGATTGAGAAGGCGTTGAGCTTCACGCGATCGCGTGTTGGGGAACGTTTGTTCAATGCACGAAACGTCGATATCTGTTTCATGGAATTTTTGAGTAATATCGTAGGGGCATCATCTTATTTGAAACAGAAATAAAATGTACAAGAACCATGGAAATAATCTCTTTCCTCTCGAAGCACAGAAACTTTTACAATGACAATGTAAACTATATACGTACATACGATCTGCTACGATCTAAACAGAGAACATGGAACGTTCTGCTAACATAATCTAAATTTACAGAGACGCACAGTGATCGATTGATTGATTATAGAGACACAATCACATTAAGGGTGTTCCGTTCCATTGTATGCAAGCATCTTGCCATCTGTAAAAAGGAATAATTTAAATGGTCAATTATCTATTCTATTAATATTTAGTGGCACTATTTTTATATATATACTGATTATATATATTTAAAACATATACTAACAACAAGTGTTTTTTTTATTAACAGTAAATTTCTTACTTATGTGCATTTCAAAATTTCAAATCTCGCCATTAAGAGATACAACGAGGTTTTCAAAAACTTTCGCACAACGCTGCAACATTCACCGAAATTTTCGTGAGTATAACGACCTAAAAGCAATAGTAATTACTCACTTGGAGCGAATGAGTTTCTCCAAGGGAGTCGCAGCAATGTCCATGCATTCTTTGCTCGGGCCCTCGAACTCTGAATCATTTCCGGAATTCGACCTGGTGTCCACGGTTAAAATAGCATGGCTGCCGCCGCACGTGAAGTATTGGATCTCGAAACTTGTGAAGACAAATGATGAAGAAAGGTGAAGGAAATTATGTAATGCAATTAATGGACGGCGAGTTTTCAAGCTTATAAAATGTATAAAATAACATTTTCATTATATTTAAATTTCATTTGTTCAATTGTAATCGTAAACTTGTATTCAATAAATATATTTGTTTCTTGTAAAAATCATTTACATTTATTTCTCCTGTTAAAATATTTTAATAGAGAATTATATTATCTTGTATTGCGTTATAAAAGAATATACCAAATATGTTAAAATTACATTATTATTGAATTTCAAGTTACTACCGTCGCAATGATTGTATGAACAAATTTTTCAAACAAAAAGGGAACAACGAATGGCATACCGTCGTTCAGCATGATAATTTCGAAGTAATTCGCGGTTGATATTGAACAGAACACCGTGATGACCATGGCAGAGTGTAACCCAAATCGGCAAATTCGGAGTTTTCAAACGGGAACCTGGCTGCTTGCTCAGTTGTCCATCACCCTCGTGCACCAGAAAGCCTACTTCACTCCTCGCAAGGACACCCCATTGCGGCACAGCCTTGACATTCGGGCACAGGAAAGTGAAAGATCAAGCTTGGAGAAGGAAAATAAAGGGAATTACTCACGTATGTGTTTTCATCCCCCACATGCAGCACTCCATTGTGCAGGTGAGGTGAAGCGCGACCGGTTAACGAGAGAATTACGACGTTTATGGGGCCTTCCTCTGGACAACCGCTTAATATCGAACCCTTTGGATCTTCTAGATCAGCTTGCACTCTGCACAGACAATATTTTATTGGTAATTTTACAGATTTATGTTACCTCGTGGAAAATCAACGATAATGTAATATAATGTAATATAATAGACAGTTTGTCTTAAATAATGATAAATAATAAATGTTATAAATATATAAGAGTTTACTTGGAAATTCCTCTAGAAAGTACAGCGCTGTACAACAATAGCGTGGCACCAGGGCCGCCCTCGTCCTGAAACTAGAATAATCAAATGAAATATTTATATTATAAAGAATGAAGACTTCATTAATACTGGAACATTTATTATCTAAGCTTACCAAGTATAAATATCTCTTAATAAATATTTCCAAGTCCTCCAGAGAATCGAACTCGAACAAATGCAACTGTAGACAAAGAATTTTTTAAAATGTACGAACCAAATGTAAGTAATGGTTGTGGCACTTATTTCATTACAATTCAATTACAAAGGATTACAGCACACAGAGAATTTTCATTTTTTCCATTTTTATCTGCCTTTTATCGAGGCATTATACGCACGGTTTCTGTAAGACCATCTTGAAAGTATTGCACGCTATGCTGCACATAGGATGTTTCTTGAGGCAAAACTACCACAGCTCTCGGTTTCGCGTTTCCTGTAGCACTCTGATTTGGCGAGTAACCGGCACTTTGCACGACGAATCCACCGGCGCAACGCCAAACGATCTCTGCTATCGTCGATGTCAAAACGTCGATCTGTCTGTCATACAACGGCTTCAACAGACTAATTTGAACAGAGATAAAATTATTGGAAACATTCTTCATTCAGAAATCTGGAAGTAATTACAAAGAGACAAATATAGGAAAAAGAAATTTTTCTGTGCAAACTTGGAACAAAAAAACGAAGAACTTGAGAAAGAGTCCGAGAAGTCGAGAGATATAAGAAAAATGTTCAACAGCTTTTCCAAGAAGCAAAAATATAAGTGACTGATAAATAATGAGATCGTCTTTACGGAAAAACTATAGCGAAAGAAAAACTCAGAAACCTGGTGAATTTAAAGTCAAATTGACGTGCAATTCCAAGAACAAAAAGAACATTTTTGTCACTTGAAAGAATGATCAAGTTGGAAATATCATTTCGGGCAGTGGAGCGTTTTAAAACTTGGAATTTTTTGGTGTACGTACACGTTGAACAGGTTTTACCTTTCTGGATTGGCATGAGCGTCTTGTCTGTTACACTTAAACAGGAAATGCTTGAGCATTATAGCTTGCACAGCGGTGACGAGGCCCCTGGTCGTGTTTCTCGGTGCTCGTAATCCAAATGCCAAGCTTTGCCCGTAAGGTCGTAGGGTGAATCCGGTTCTTGCCCATTCTTGTCTCGGTGGACTAGCGCTGCTTCCGAAAACCAACTTTCTCAGAGCCTAAAGTATACATGGAGAAACAAATATTACAAAACGAGAATACGACAAAATTATCGAGAAACATTAATCAGATGAGGATATAGCCTTTTCCTAAAACAGGCTCTCTGACCAAGTCTCAGGTTCTCAAATGCAAATTCCTAAAATTATTAAATTAATAACTAATTACGTTTAAACGTGTTTCAATGCAATCAATTAATCTATTACATTTAATCTTGTTTCCTCAAATTAATAAAATTTAGAGAAATTAATTAAATTTAAAGAACTTGTGAAAAAGTCGTTTAGAGTATCTTGAGAAACTTCTCCTCTGTTTCAATTAATAGTTTCGATCGACAAATTACCATGCAAGTCTCCTCATCGATAGGTTTCCCCCCAATCACAACCGTCTTGGCCAACGTCCTGGTATTTCTCGGATAAATGATCTTCTCTGCAACAGAAAATACACAAAACATCATCCTCGTCGATTCTTTCTCCCTCATTCACAATAATCATTCGAGTTCTCCACCTGGGTACAGTTCGTCAGGCTCTCCCATCAGAGCCGCACACCTGGCTGATCTAGCAGACAGCAACATTTTCCTTAAACTTCAATCGAACACATCAACGAATCACGCACGAATCATCTACGAGGTGCACAATAAAAGAAACTCTACACGATATAGCAAAGAAAAATTGATTCCAATAATAAGTAGAAGATAAAATTGTATGGAGCGAAAGAACTTGACCGCTAGAACTACCAATGACTGAAATAAAATTTTATATATACCAAGAATTGTAAGGGAAATCAAAATAAAAAATATATATATGTATGTATATATGTATATCAAAATGCAACTGACATCATTCTTCCAGGTCGAGTTTTATTTTATTTTACGACTACACCGACTAACAATCCAACGATTTGTTCAATGCACGTGCAGAAAGAAACTTCGCCCTGCATACTTCACCAAGAATCGTTGAAACACGCAACAACAGCAAACGCAGTTTGCAAAGCCGTGTATCTGAAACTTTAACAGCGTAGAGAAATATCTGTCGTCCGAGAGATCTTTATATATAGAGTGTTGTGATAATTGTACGAAGAATTATAAACTGGTCATTACTGTGGTAGTTCTAGCTCGTCAGGTAGCGAAACGGGTGAAAGGCAAACTTGTGGCGATTGTCACCCGAATGCACAGTGGCACAGCCGGCGCACCAAGCAATCGAATATCAATTGGGATTCGTGCCGAATTCCAGGTCCCTTTATATACCGCCGATCCGAGCCCGATATCGCGACGAGTCCGTGAAACTTTTCGCCGCACGAAACGCGTCAATTCGGACGTCCAAAGACACTTTGCTCGCCAGGATAGACGATAGACATGCCCCAATAACGTCTGCCTGTCGCTCTGTCATGTGCACCATGTGTCACGGGCCACGCGAGCAACTCAATCGTGTGTTCCAACAATAAGATGAAGCTCGTGGCTCGAGGCACGTGTACCGGAAGTGCAGCTTCGATATCAGATCGTGGTGCTTGAGAAATATGAATCGGTGTTGACGTGGACATTAGCACGAGTACGGTTGAATAGTGTGTACGAGATAATAGGCTAAAACAGTTGCATTTCTTCATCTCTTCGATTTACAAGTATGTGAAATTTCCCGTGGGAAATTATAAACTGATCGTTTTGAATTTATTTTTGGTAGTTCCAGCGTTACTCGATAGTAGATAGAATTTTTTTATTTGCGCTTCGAAACATGCACAGCGAAACTCGACAATTTCTGTTGAGTCTGTGAATGTCAGAATTATGAGCTCTTCAGATGTAATTGGTATTGACATAGACGACATTTTGTGCAAGGATAAGTTAGAATCTTTTGTTTAGATTTATATCTCGCAGACGTCATTAATACGATTGCAATTGAACAATCGGGGATTTACATTAAATTTCATAGCATTTGCTGGTTAAAATGTGCAGTTAAAATTGGGTACTATACGCCGGACTATATGTTAAATTTGATAGCAAATCTGATAGAGTTTACCATGAAATTAGAGCCACTAACAAGAGTAAATACAATTGATGCAATTATTCGAACCACTGGATGTACTAAAGCTAGCTTCCGCAATCTTGTATCTAGAGCGGACGAAAATTGAAAAACCGACAGAATGATACCGTCTCGTCAAACAACGCAAAATAATCGTACATTATCGAACGCGTTCCTCTTTTTATTTCGCTGCTTTCCTTTTTACACCGTGTACGTCATGTACATGCATATTACGAATCGTTTTGCGTGACACGCAAACTTCAAAAAAAGAAAAAAAATTGTACGTGCAAGTCGAATTCTTTTCAACTCATTTCCTGCTACTAGGTTGTATTTCGTTCCCCAATAATAATTTCGGTGCCTGTCTGCGATCTTCGTTACTCGAAACATCATTTTCTTCGAGCAAATGGATTTTCTAACTTTGAACTGCGCTCACACGTCGGTACACACGTGTGTGAACTTTTCTTTCAACTTGATGAAGCAAGCTACGAAGTTAGATAATTCTAATTTAGGTAAGAATAATTAAAACTACGACTTGATTGATTAGCTGAGCTGTACATGTGCATCTGTCTGCAAACTTTCCTCATGTGTTAATACTGATAGCAGATATTTCAAACGCAATCACACGAACTTCAGTTTTATAATTATACTGTATTGTACAATATTTTATAATATTATAATATTTTACTGTGTGGTACAATATTTTATAATATAGTAATATTTCACTGTGTTGTACAATATTTTATAATATTGTAATATTTTACTGTGTTGTACAATATTTTATAATATTGTAATATTTTACTGTGTTGTATAATATTTTATAATATTATAATATTTTACTATATTGTACAATATTTTATTTACATTATAATATTTTACTATATTGTACAATATTTTATAACATTATAATATTTTACTGTGTTGTACAATATTTTATAATATTATATTTTACTGTATTGTACAATATTTTATAATATTATAATATTTTACTATATTGTATAATGTTTTATAATATTTTAATATTATATACATGTATAATATATAGACAATATATGTATAATAAATTATACACATATGTATATAATATCTAACACATATAATCTATTGTATATAATAATAAAACAATATTTACATAATATATGTACAATAAACAATTGTATTATTCAATGTATGTTATACACATTGCATATACACACATATATACATATAACAAAATACTTTCAAAAATATGAATTTGCATAAAAATTTACACTCCTGTCTTGTAATATTCTTCACGATATTTCTAAACATGTATTAGCATATGGTTCTTCGTCTCACAGATTAAGGAATGACGGGAAGGCTGTTCTTTGGCATGTGTACTACATCTCGAAACATACTTTCCAGAATCGCGTGCTCGCGTGTAATCGAGTCTATCGAATTACGAATTCGCGTCGGAAACAGGCATCTGCATTTGTCGATTACGCCAACCGATATAATGCAGTTTAATTTCCTTCCCCCGCGATCCATCGATCTAATTCGTCGGCTAACACTTGACGATTCTTGGCGAACAATCGACGAATCTGGCTCGCTGATGGTGAAATTTAATTCATTCGTTGTCAAGCTTCTCGGTGTTCTGCAACGTTCCCTTCTTTCCCTCTCCTTCTTCTCTTCAAGCTGTGTTTCTGGTTTTTGATTTTTTTGGAATAGTAGAACCTCGATTGTCAAAATTGATCGAGTAGACAACAGTTCCGCTAATGCTATAAATTTATCGTTCTTCGATCCTTTAATACTTTCACATTTTGTTTCAATTGGTAATAGTAAAGTACACAGTATTGTAATGTCACTTTGGATGTAATATCGTGGAAAGATGTTGTTAAAAAGATTACTTGCGCAGTGGTGCATATAAGATGTTGTTTCTACTCGAGACTCGAATTTATTAGTTATCAGTTATCACACTGAGAAAAAAGAAATGAAGAATTGCTAATAATATACACAGTGTTAGAATTCTACTAAACGGTAGCATCAGTTGCAATGAACGATTAGAACATTTCTGTGATTTTCTTACGTAAGTTTATATTTGGAAATGTTCTGGAAATTACTGGCGTTTGGAAAACATTGTAATAGTTTTGTTCTAAAAAATTTCTTGTTTTGAAATTGATAGTTCGATGAGAAATGTATATTGAATCATATATAAATAAATGCTTTAATTGCATTCTGAAGAAGTTGCACACGATCAAAGTTAGATTTGAAGAACGATACTATATCAATCTTAATAAAAGGGAATAAATAATGTATGAATTACATACGAAATGTCCAATTGTCGAATTAATTTTTATAGAATGTCTGAATAATGGATATATTTCCTGTCTCTACTTTCAGAAACTTAATTTCTGATCAAATAAAGTATGACACGTTTATAAGAAATTTGTATTTTTTTAAGAGTACAATTTTCAGTAAAATCAATTGTTTCATTCTGTCGTATTCTTTGGATCATTCTCGATCCCATCGTGTTTTATTTTATTCTCAACAAATTTCTTAAATATGGAAAAACCGCTGTTCGTGCACATGATTTCCCGTTTTTTCTATACATCAAGGTTTCTTTAAAAATCCTTGTGCTCGTTAAACGAAAAGTGGTATAAAAATTGGAAAATCGTAACAAGTTTAAGTGTTGAATAATGAGATTAAGATTGTGTTCGATTACACAGGCGTGCAATTATGAAAGTTTGCGGACGATGATACATGGTTCCATCGTTAATCGATCAAGTCGGTGAAACTGGATTTCAAAACTGTCAAAACTGTTGAGTAATAACGAACCAAAAACGAACATTGAAAACGTGACAAATTAAACGTACGGATAATCTACAGCAATCTATCAACTTCCTTCGTTTCTCAACAATTACAATATAATCATTACATTAACGGCATAAGACGATACAAAATTTATAATGTAACAAATGTGTCATTATAGCAAACAATTTTGTTTCAATCTAATTTACATTCGCAAAACAACAACCTAGTAAATAAAATAATATATTACACCAAAGACGTAATAGCAGTTTAAGATAATTCGAAGCAAGCTTGAACTAAAATGAAAAATTTGAAAATGATTTGAACACCTTGTTGCAAGGCCGACACATTCGTTTCGCTGTACCTTTCTGCCGAAGGTACGCAGGTTTCTCCGACCGCATTTCCGTGCAGTGTTTCTTGCCACGCACCGTCGCTGAGGACGACGTGGACGTCGAACACGAGTTGGTATTCTCCTCGACTTCTTCCACTTCCTCCATATTTTCTACTCCCCTTCGAAACTCACTCGCGAGTCTTGAAAGAAACAAGAACAACTTTGCTTCAAATTTGCTACAGACACTTCAACATTGATCTATTCTTGAACATACGTACAATTGCAGTTCACATAAATATACGTGAAATATGAGAAATATTGAAATACGTCAAGTATCAAGAGTATGAAACTTAATTATAATTCACTAAACGGTCGAACTAGTTCATTTTTACAGGCGAACATGTCTTTGAGGATACTGAGCTGATTACAACCGAGGGCGAACAATTTTGTGGCCCGTTTCTCCCGTTTGATCTACGCGAAATCGATCGATATCTTCTTGTTTGTCGTGCGTTAACGAGATTGTTTTTTTAACAAGTGAAAGAAGCAGTCAAGTGCTCGTTGCTGCATCGAGCTACCTAGACTGACAGGAGTTAATAATTCCGGTTGCTTTTGGCCGAGTCGGTTCATCGCGCCGCGCACGAGCTTACCATCCCACCAGGCTATCGGATACGTACGTTATATGCATAACGGCGGGCCATGAACTCGAGAATTCGAAGGCTCGTTTGGCCTAACGCCTCCGTTCAAGTATTGAGGAACGAGGAGATCCGTGATCCGCTGCCTGAAAAGGTGTTTCGTGCGTCAGACTGATGTTTCACGCTAGAACTATCGAGTCGATAGTATCGACGACCCGAGATGTCAGAGAGTACATAACGAGAGTATATAAGAAAAAGTTATTTATCCATTATCCACATAGTATTATATCATACATAATATATTGTTAACCTACTAAGGATCAAGCATCCTTGCCTTCAATTTCTTTAAATTTCGTAGAATTCGCAGAATCTAAGTAAGTTAATATTAAAGCAAATACTTCATAATGCAAATAGTGAAAGATAATATTTAATAATAATTTTAACTGATTAAATAAATATATAATATATATATAATAAATTATAATATATAATATAAATAAATATATAATAAAATAAATATAATAAATATATAATAAATTATAATATATAATACATATAATAAATATATAATAAGTTATAATATATAATATATATAATAAATATATAATAAGTTATAATATATAATATATATAATAAATATATAATAAATTATAATATATAATATATATAATAAATATATAATAAATTAATTGAATAAAATAGTGGCTAATGAAATATTACGCAATTAATATATTGTATTTAATACTTATACTTATTGTGAATAATATTGTTTCATTTTGGCTATAATGACATACCAATTATACGTGTTTATTTGTTGAAACATAACGAAAAATTAATTTATTACCGTGGTAATGTAATGACTCGCACAGATAAAAAAGGCAAATATGGAAAAAGAAAATGATAAAGTTTAGTAGATGTAATTTAAATAGGCAACATAATTTTCTTTATATATCCGAACATCATTCGCTTACTGGGAATCCTTAATCAACTCTAACAATACTTATACCCATGTGCATCCTCACAGAATAAGGTTACGATTTCATGCAGAACATGATAGTTCGTCTCGTATATATGCTATCTCGCGACTTTATCGGAGTTACCGATCTTTGCACGCGTTCCGTGCCATTTTCGTTCGATCGGAATGGATGATCTCGAACAGTGTCTGTAAATAAATTTCTATTTAATATTCTGAGATGAGAAAGTAAAAGTACAACAGTATTGGAATCTTCCTTCCATAACAAAGAAACAAAGTTAAAAAATTTTATTTTCCTCAGATATTTTGTGGAAATAATCTCTAAAGATTAATAAATTTACATGACGCGTTCACATGTGAATACCTATATTTCATTTAAACTCTCAGAATTTCTCTGCTAGACGACGAACTATTAAATGAAAAAAATTTTTGTTTTCGTTACTTCTTTTACCCGCTACGTGGTGTAAAAACAAAAAGAAAAAAAGCACTGTCAAAGTAGAAACTTTATGCTTTAGAATAAGACCAAATGAATCGTTATATGATTTTTTCTTTTTTTTTTTAACGAAGTTATAAGAATTTCAAAATATCGACAATTTTTCATCGTTACTGATTCAATTGTACTCTTCATTGTAGTTACTTATCCCAAGACTTTTGAGCGAAAGAATTTCGAACACAATTGAAGTATTGGCATACTAGTTAAAACGAGTACGAGTAAAACAATCCGCGTACCAAACAACTAAACCAACTAAATCTTCGTTCGGCCGAGTCGTTAAACTTCGCGTAGGATGCATGTCTTATCATTCTCTGTCATAATTACTAATTTCCTAACAATCATGCCGCCGTAATCAAGATTACGTCGGCTGGTTAAGTTCAAGTTCGCGCTGGTTTGAAATAGATGCTCTATATTCGGCCTTCGATCTAAAGTTTCGAATTCGAGCGTGTTACGTGCACGTGCATGCACGTGTCAAACACGAAGTGCATAGCGTCGAAATACGCAGGTTTTATCAAAGTATGAACTTGCATAAAGATCTGTAATGAGTCTATTCGTCATTCTTGATGCCTAGAAATGATTCTTTCTATGTGATGGTTCGTTACTGCTCTTACGAAACATACTGTATTTCGATGCGTGTCTACATTTACGCGTCGTGCATAGTGCTTGGTTTATCGCCAGAGTGCAATATGAAATTGAACTTAGGGTCGGGTGGCGTAGTACCAGGAGCGAAGTTACAGACTACGTGTTACTCCGAGTATTTGGTTACTTAATGATCGATCAAATTTGCACGTGCCTGCGAGAATGTTAGGAAACTGGCGAGTTTAGAATTGATCGATCGTAGATGTGTGTTATGCACAGCAAGATTCTTGTTTCTATAATTCTAAAGATGTTCCAAACGTAAATTGTAATTGTAACTATAAGTTTCAAGTGTTATTTGTTATTTTATGTATACCTTCATACATGATTAAAAATTTTTGATGTGGAAGATGCAATGTGATGTGTGTTTTTAGAACTAAATTGTTTTGTATTATTTTACACATCATTTTATGCAGTAAACCGTTCTTATAATTTACATTAAACTGTCTTTTTGTAATTTAGATTATATCGTTTGTTGCTGTGCTATATTAATATTATATATTGATTTTACAATTTTGATCCAAATATCCAAATACAGTCTGAGGAATTAAGTAATTTTAAAACGAGGCTGTTTCGATCTATTATAATAGAATTTATAAGTTTTTATATATTTTATAAGTTAAGTAGAATATGGAACGAAAGCCGGAAATTTAATTTGGAGGATGCAATCGCGAAAGTTCATAAATTAATCTTCTTAATTAGCTTCTTTTGTAAGTGAAAATTTATAACCGATCCACAAACATTAAAATATTAGCGCCACGAACGCTGGATGTAATTAATCGTTACTATACTGCCATCTATCGGAGTTTACTTCAGTTTTTTAATTCGTTTCTGTCCTCTTAAATGGCAGCACCAGCTGCTATAGACAAGGAGCACAATTGTGTGCGACAAAGAAAGATATAAATCACGTGCTGCCACATAGGCACCTCTTAATTCCGATCAGAACTAAAAGAAACTTGAGCACATAATTCATTTTTGTTACATTTCAGAATAAAATCCCCAATTTTCTTCTTATATGTTTCATTTGAGTTATAAAATACATGTATAAGGGTTCAAAAATTCTACTTCCAACAGATCGAAGCAGCCGCTTAGATAATTATATCACTGAATGAAATTAAATTTTAATGAAAAACGTAGTCGAAGAGATATATGACTAGCCTCGTCTATGACTTTGTCTATGCTCATTTCTGGGATGATCAGGTCTATGTTGTTTTAAATTAATGGTATAAAGATGAATGTAGATGTCTCTGAATATTTCTATAGAGGGCTCCAACATTCACAATATTATGGAGGTATCTTAAGTAACCTATTGCAATTTGTTGCTATGCTGTAATATATTGCATAGTTCTCCAACTTCAATAAAAAAACGTCAATTAATCAGTTAATTAATAAAGGATATTTACACATTAAAGAACATTACGCATTAGCTCAGTGAATCGAGAAAATGGGCAAACACGAAGTGGGAACTCCAAAGTATATCGCTAACAAAATTAAGGCCAAGGGCTTGCAGAAGTTGAGATGGTATTGTCAAATGTGTCAGAAGCAATGCCGAGATGAAAATGGGTTTAAGTGTCATACAATGTCGGAATCTCATCATAGACAGTTATTGCTATTTGCTGATAATGCGTCCCGTTATATGGATCAATTTTCAAGAGAGTTCTCTCAGGGTTACTTGAACTTGCTGAAAAGACAATTTGGTACCAGACGTGTCCCAGCCAATCGTGTTTATCAGGAATATATCTCAGACAGAGGACACATACATATGAATGCTACGATTTGGCTTACACTGACTGCCTTTGTTAAATGGCTCGGACGTACTGGAAAATGTGTTGTTGATGAAACAGAGAAAGGTAATTTTTTCATGAAACATTTGTCAGTTTCTATAAGAAATGATTCAAACAAACATAATGTCAACTATTTCTTTTTAATAATTGTTTTCCCTGTCCTTAGGCTGGTATGTAACATATATCGATAGAGATCCAGAAACATTAGCAGCTCAAGAAAAGAAAGCCAAGAAGCAAAAAATGGATAAAGATGATGAGGAAAGAATGATGGAATTTATAGAGAAACAAGTAGAAAAAGGCCAACAAGAAACCAGCGGACAAAGTGAAACTACTAAGGAGCCACTAACGCGTGTCGACAATGATACACCTCTAGTTATTAACATGAAGATAAATAAAAAACCAAAGTTGCTTCCCATTATAAAACAAGAAGCAGATAAAGCTTCTAGTACTGGTGAATTGGTTTCTATGATTTCAAATATAAAATCTGAGAAATTAAATGATGACGAATATACAGACAAGGAAACAAGTTCGATAAAATCGGAAAAACATATACCTAAGCGTAGCATAGATGACGATTGTAGAGAAGGATGGTTAAGGGTAGGTTTAATAGTGAAAGTAGTCACCAAAACTCTTGGAAACAAATACTACAAGTCTAAAGGAATAATTCAGTCCGTTGAAAACTCCAACTTTGTTGGAAAGGTGAAATTGAAGTCGCCTGAAGAAGTTGAGAATCATATCATAAAGTTAGATCAGGAATATTTAGAAACCGTAATACCCGCCATTGGAAAGCAAGTTATAATTCTTTGGGGCAAATACAAGGGCATGAAGGGTATGGTGCACAAACTTCATGTAGAAAGTTACAGTATTGATATAAAATTAGAGTGGAATGATACTATTGTAAAGGACTTACCATATGAACAAATTTGCAAATACGAAACATAATTATTTGTATTACAGACTGAAATGTATGTGTTTCATTTGCAATTTTACTCATCAGATATGTTATTTATTATGATGTCTTGGTTAGTATACAATGAAGCAAAACATGTTTTCTTTCTATTCGTATTTTGTAGGTTTTTGCTATTTATACAACTATACTAACTATACTGTTTAAATATTCCATTTTGTACATATATGTATAATAAAATTTATATATTACTTTAGTCTGTATTAATTAATACATAAAAATATTTATGTATAGTCACTCTGATATCTAAGAGAGCACCTGCGTACAAATATAATGTTTAAGAAATGCTAACTTTTCATGTACAGTTATTTATTTTTCAAATAAAATTGATTTTAAAAGCTATATTTGTAAAGATATGTAATCAAATTTATTCCAATATTCAATAATGAATGGTTTATTTTTATATTAAATAATTAAGTTAATGATAAATTACAAGATTAATATATGTTATTAATATAACTTTGGAAGTTAGAATAATTTTAATTAAGTTATAAACTTATATAAATATATATAAAGTATATGTATAAATAATTTACATATTTTATACTGAGATTGTTTACTTATACTTACTCAATAAAATATACCACATTTTATTTCAATAATAAAAAACTTTCAATAAACGTTCTGAAGTAGAAAAATTCAGTAACATGTGGTTTTTCATTCATGGACAACATAACCTTCTCGTTTTATCCTGCTAATTCATATTATTGCGAGAAAGATAAACTTTATTTTTTGTAATTTGATAATTTTGATTTATAAAGAAAGATAATACACATTTTTATAATTATTTTACATAAAAAGTTAATGGAGTATTATAAAGGAGTCAGTTTATAATATCTAATTATTTGACTCAAAGTTTTAATTCTTTCATATTATAATGTTTACTCTATTTAATGGTGATAATTCTGATTCTGAGGAAGAATTAAAAATAAATACAGATTATGCCAAAAATTATAATAACTGGCGACAGAAGGAAGAATTAAATAAATGTAAGTACATATACCAGACTTCATAACCTTGTATATTGATGATTATTTTCATCTAAAAAATCTGTGTTCCAGTAAAAACAAAATATGGAGATATTAATGAAGGTACAGATTCAGATGAAAACTCCAATAGTGACAATTCCTCTGAAAAAGAAGAAGGAAATGTATAAATATAATATTTTATTATAAATATAGTATTTTATAAATGTAACAAATTTCTGTATTATTTTATTGATTACATTGTTTTTTTATAGGAATTGAGACAGCAATTCGATAAAGATTTTTATAAGGCACTAGCCCTTTTAAAAAATAAAGATCCAAAAATTTATGATCAACATGTAGCATTTTTTAATGACACTAATAAAGTACAGGAAGTTTATACAGAGAAGAAGAAGCAAAAACCTAAGAAAGAAAAAGCTGTTTTTCTAAGAGATTATGAAAGAAACATTATTGTGGAAAGGGATGGGAAACTTAGTGACAGTGAAGATGAAAATGTACTGGAAACAGATAGAATAGGAAGTAATAAAGTCACATATGTACAAGAGCAGAAAGAGCTAAAAGAGAGTTTCAAAAATGTATTAAATGATGAAGAAGAAGAAGATGATGATTTGCTAAAGCCAAAAGTTAAATCTGAAAGTGAAAAAACAAAAGTAAGTTCGTAATTTTTTAATATTTCGTATTTTTTGTAACAACACTGATATTGTTTTTATTATTAGGAAGATACCGATTATAAAGAATGGTTGAAAGGACAAAAGACAGAAATTAATGAAAATGAACAGGAGATACTCAAACCTCTGCGCGATTTTTGGTCTAATCCTAATTTAGATGCTAATGAAAAATTTTTAAGAGATTATGTACTTAATGATAAATATTTAGATAAAAATTATACTGGGCCGGATGATGATGATGATGATCAAGGCAAAAATTATGTAATTCACGACAGTGACGAAAATTTGTCAGAAGACGAAAAAAACATCGAAAAGCAAGAAGAATTTGAGCATAAATATAATTTTAGATTTGAAGAACCTGATCAGGAATTTATTAAACGATATCCGCGAACTATGGAGAATTCTTTAAGGAGAAAGGATACTCGCAGAGCCGAGAAAAGAGCAGAAATAAAAAAGAGAAAGGAAGAGGAGAAATTACGAAAGAAAGAGGAGCTTATGCAGCTGAAGGCATTGAAAAGAAAAGAAATCGAGGAAAAGATAGAGAAATTGAAAGAGATCACGGGGAATGATGATATTCAGTTTAATGATGTTGATTTGGAGGGTGATTTTGATCCTGTTGAATATGATCGAAAAATGAATCAAGTTTTTAATGACGATTACTATGCAATTCCTGAGGAAAATGTTAAACCTGAATTCCATGATATTGATGAAGAATTAGGAATTGAAGATAACTGGGATAATTATGATCCAACAGCGAAAAATCTTGCGGATGAAGATGAATATGAAGAACCCCATTGCGAGGATCCAGAATTTAATGTAATTTATTTATTTTATTGTATCAATTATTTTCATTGTATAAAAATAAACTATAATTAAATGTATTTTCAGATGGATGCGGATTACAATCCATTGAAAAGGGTTCAAGAAGAAATAGAATCTTCTAAAAAAAGAAAACGTAGACGAAAATCCAAGTTCGCAGAACTCATAGCAAAAGAAAAACCGAAATTTGATCCTCAACAATATAAATCTTACGAAGAATATTTCGATAAGTATTATTCATTAGATTATGAAGATATGATTGGTGACATACCATGTAGATTTAAATACAGAAAAGTTGTGCCAAATAATTACGGTTTAAGCGTAGAGGAGGTACAGAGGAATTAATTTTATTTTTAATACCTTTTTCTACAAAATATCTTAACGATGTCTTTTTTATCAGATATTGATGGCTGATGACAAAGAACTGAACAAGTGGTGTTCTTTGAAGAAAGCTCTTCAATACAAACCGGAATACGCGGAACTAAATGACATTAAAATGTATAAACAGAAGGCCAAGAATGAGACACTTAAGAGAAAGATATTTACAAGTTTGTACAAGTAAGGAGAGAAGGAGAAAATATGTGATTTTTTTAAAAATTAAATTCATATTGTTTATTATAGGCTATGTTTAATATTTTTTAGAGAATCTGAGGATGAAGAAGAGGGAGATAAAAAAGAAATCACTTCTACCACTAATGAAAACGTAGAAGGAAAAAAGAAGCGACGAAGAAAGAAGACAAAGACACAAAATACTCTGGACGATTCATCTACTACCGAAATTAATCATGAAACATCTAAAGATAACAAACAACTTAATGGAAGTAGCAAAGAAATAGAAAGTAAGGATAGTGTAGCACAGAAAGAATCAAAGGAACCTGAGAAGAAACGGAAGCAAGAGGAACAACTCGAGCAACCGAAGAAAAAGATAAAAAATAATACCCTCGAATCATCTACAAATTCAATCGAAAATAAACCTTGCGAAGAAAAAGAAGCTACAGATAAATCTATTAAAGAAAGTTCTAAAAAGGAAGTTGACGGTCAAAGTCGTAACGAGTTAAATATCAAACATTCGAAGACAGAAAAGTTCAACGAAAAAAAGACGAAGAAAAAATTCGACAAAAAGAAGAAGAATCACTTGAAGAACAAAGAAATCAATAGTAACATTGCTTCGCTAAATCCAGAGAGATTAAAGGTATATGGAATAAATCCAAAGAAATTGAAAAACAAATTGATATATGGAAAAAAGAAACTGTAACTATAACATATTGTAGAAATAAATATGTACATAATTTTTTATTAATGGGCCATCTTTCTATTCCCTATTTTTTTACATCGTTATTGAAACGCGCCCTATTCGATATCAATAAACATGCGGGGTAAACGTTTCGCGAGTATGCGACGTGATCGAATAGGAGTACACCCTCGAGTAGGAGTGTCCTTGTTGTTAGGGTAAATCCGTTTCGACATGATAAACGACGTTTGCGGATTATTAGAATCGCAGCAGCCTGTTTGCGTTTACTTTTCTAAAATCTCCTCTTTTAATCCGTCCCATATGCCTCGTTCAAGGAAATCTGTCTTTCTGTTTCTGTTTAGTAATCTTTTGTTCAGTCACGACATCACATAAGTATTATTATTATTATACAGTTAACGTCAAAGATCAGAGTTAACATTAAGAGGAATAAGTTTTCTTTAAAAATTGATATTAAAGGAATTATGATATTTAAATTATATATAGAACAGAATGAAAGGCAACGAAAATAATATTTGCAAGTTACAATAAAATTTGAAATAAAAAATTTGAAATTAATGAAACACCTTCGTGTGGAATACTATTATACTGTCGTGAATTTGATCGCAGTGACTGGAATAATTTAATCGACAACAAAGCCTAGATATCTCTTACGAATGTTAGTTAACGAGGGCAGAGAGGATTAGGGATGACACGGTACTTGCACCCATCGAAACTGGTCTCTCTGTCCCCCTGGGTGCAATATATCAATTCTCCTAGCCCCACCAGCGGAATACTATTTCCACGGTAGCAGGTGGCTCCTGACTGCCACGCTCGTTCGCACCCTTAATTCCCAATTAATGTTATACTCGTTGTAAACGTGTGTTTTATCTGTGTTGCGCAAGTTGCAACACTGAAATGAACTACACATGCAAGAAAAGCAAAAAAAAAAAAAAAAAATATTTATGACAAGTAAATAACGTGAATTAATATGGATCAAAGAGTTTGAAGTATTTTATATTTGAATTACAGAGCAAATATTGTTTCATTTTAACGGACGGAAAAGTTTGCAGTGTTTCAGGAAGATGTTTAATACAAAATTGAAATTCGAGGTATTTTTTGATCTTAAAAAAGTACATTCAACTTGAAAATATCTGAAAGAAGGCATCATAGTGAACGTTAATATAATTTTGAAAGCTTTAATTTCCAATTTTTACAAACTAAACTGAGTTTTGAAAAGGAAAAGTTTTGCAGAAAATCTTTCTTTTTTTTAAATCATTGAATATTGTTTTTTAAATTTCTCGAAGAGGAATCCGATTTAGACCTTCAAGACTATTTAATCACCACTTTCGTGAATTAAGAATCGGTTATTGCATGAAAAGGAATAGCTATTTTCACCGAATTACAAGCTATCGAGTTTCAAGATTACCAAATTTCACGGGCTAACGCCTCCATCTGGAATCGCATAGGGTGTATCGGGGGATAGTGTAATTGGGGTATCATCCCTGTCCACGTTCTAATTGGCGGAAAACTGTTGGGGGCGAATATCTGAGAAGCTTGGTCAAGAGACTCGAGTTCAAGGTATTCCCTCTTAGTTTTGGTCCATGATTTCAATCTATCCTTTGCCAAAAATTCAAATTATAACTCGATCTGAATTGGAAATTTAGTTATTTGAATAGAAATAGATTTCTTATGATGAAATATAGGTATTGTTATGTGGCTGTGATTTCGATATGTCTCCCACTTGAATCATAATTACGAGATACGTGGTGATCGTTCCGATGACCTAAAAACATAAAAATAAATTATTATTGTTACTATATTAATTTTTGATTGAATGATAATTATTAATTAATATTTATTTTCTCTGGCCATCGCAATTAACAGTGACAATTATTACAGATTATCATTGAAAATTAATATAAATTATTATATTTGTAAATGAAAATTAAGACATCAATAATTATAAATTGTAATTATAAATTAAATTTCATCTTTCATTTTAAGAATACTTACTCCTTGAATAAACGCGTGATCCAGATTGAAGAAACCGTAAGCTGTGAATATCACTGGATTTTGTATCAGCTGCAGAGTGAAATTTCTAATCTAAAAAGATCCTTGAGTCAATGAATATGTTCTTTTTTTTCATAACAATCTCGAGAAGAAATTTAGAGTTTTTTACCTCTGCTCGAAATTCCTTGTCGGTGGATGATTCATAAAGCTTGCATACAAGATCCCCCATATTTGTTGCCTGTGAACAATAATAATGAATTAATAATAATGACAAAAAGTATTCGATACGAATTCTTTTTTAAATTTACTTTCAAATTTTTTTTAACTTCGATATTTTAAATATAAGGTATACTTTACAAAGAAGTTCTTTTTTTATGTTTCTCTCTCTAAGAAAATGCTTTTAAGAATTTACAAATGAGAATGAACAATTCTTTTGCAATAGAATTCTGTACCTCTGTGATTGTCTTGGCACAAACGTGGTTTACATACAAGACACAAGGTATGTAAATTAATAGCCAGCAAATTATGGAAATCAGTTCTCGCATAAGCTCATTGGTTGATAGATCCAGCGATAGGATTCTGTACAATATGTAGAGGAAAATAGTGGTGAAGATAACCGATATGGTCATCAGCAGTAAAACTTGCACTCCAAAAGTATCATTCACAACCTTCACGATCTTGATTATCTCCAGATGTATTTGCCTTTTCACAAAAATCAATAAATAATTGAATGAATTAAGAATCATTGAACTAATTAAGAAAACTATCTATTACGCACTCTACGTTTTGAAAAACTTATGTTGTAGTTCTCGTTCTCAGTTTATCTGAAATTTAACACTATTTTTTTCTTTGTAATATCGAATTTACTATTCGTTTCAAGTTTAAATTTCGAGCAATTTAACATTAATAATATATTCGTTGCATCGTGAAATTTTGTACTATATTGTAATCAGACGAGAGATTTGGTAGAAATATTTTTTAAATGTCTCGAGTAAAAAGTTCTGTTCGAAAATTTTCTACGAAAGTGCATCGAAATAAATTTTTCACGATTCCCTTCCCTTTCTTATTACTTCGAATATTTCCAGACCATGCTTGATAACATAAGATTCTAACTGAGAAGCTCCATTCAGCCTCTTATCGTCTGAGGCAGAATACAATACGATAAGTGTAATACAAAAAAAACAACGTAGAGAGCGAAAATGCGTCGCAGAATCTTACTTTACTGATCTCATCTTGCACGTATTCCCGTTGCTCTCTTGTACAATTCTAAACGACGAGAATCTCTTGTTCTCGAGGTCGTTGCTCGTTTTCAGAAATCTTTTATACAATGGTGACTCCGATGTCGACAGCATACTAAGAAGCAACTGATTCAGTTGACAAAATTTCAGCTTCATGCATCTACATATATATTTATTATATTTTGTTTGCCTCATTAAAATATTTGTTACAGTAGAATTCTGTTTACTTGAATTGGTTGCAGAATGAACAATTCATAAAATAATGGTTGACAATAGAAGTTCATGTTCAGATATGCATAAAACTATTCGGACACCTGATATAATTTAATCAAAAGATTGCTATGTTTGATTAAGGAGTACCTCCATAATTAGAATTAAATTAATTAGACTTGTGGACGGTATAAGAATAAATCAATATATGGAACTCGTTCATGTAACCGAGCACCAATTAAAATTTCATTCTCATAAATGGAATTCTACCGTATTTAACGCTAGAACTTACCATTGACTGGGATATTAAATAATGGGAAAAATTCACGTGTAAGAAACAGAAAAAAAGTTCACGATATATAATAATAAAGAACACACAAGGATTTATTAATAAAAAAATTTTGTGAAAAAAATTACTCGAATTTCTAGTGCCAACACTTCGTTAAAAATTTTTTCAGTCATCTTACGTACATCATCGAATTCTGTTTTTATTTTTAATGATGAAAAGCTATGAAAAGTAATTCCACAGACTCGCTTAATATCTTTTTCGTTATTATGTCTTTCATTTGAACGATCGCTGCGCGAATGTATTTAAAGAAATTGAAGTACTCACGACATTATGACAAACCATTAAACTAGTTCTAAGACGTAGTTCTAGCGTTAAAATTTCATCGTATTGTTCTTGAATGATTAGTTTCATACGTGACCCAGAAGCAGAACGAGATGACAGAAATGTAGATGACCGGGAATGGCAAGTACGATAAAGAGGTAAGGTAGAATTTCATCGATTTCGCTGTCGACTCTTGGAACTGCCAGGTGTAAATCACCGTGATGAAGAATACTGTGAAAATTCCGTAAAATACAAATCCCTTGATCTGATAGACGAACAGCGCGTGATATATTTGTGGCAATCCCATTTTCTCCATTGTTCGATCGTTCGATTCTACAAGTGCGATCACCGTACGTAAATTCTAGAAAATGAGAGAAACATTGAAATTACAGAGAAATTCTTTTCTTACGATATAGGAATTTCAAACCTTTAAGATTACTATGGTTTTCTTCTTTTTTCTTTTTTCTTTTTAAATTAAAAGTCTAACAACAAATGGAAGAACTGAAATTAAATGTTTTGTAATTATTTGACGTAGATGTATTATTGTTAAAGTCATTGCAAATAATATAATATGTATATATTATAATAATATACTATACAACAGATTTATAATATATATAATAATATAATATACTTATGTCACATATACACAATATATTAATCTTCAGACTTTAATGCAATAGAGAATTTCTACGAGAATCAAAATATGAAAATACATTACATAAAAGTATGTAAAATATAAAATAAAGTGTCGAGTTTTTAACTAGCTAGTTTCAAGATTGTCATAAAATTCGAAAAAATATTCGAGAAGAATGTTTAAATTAAAAGACTAACAATAAATTGAAGAATTGAAATTAAATGTTTTGTTATTATTCGATGTAAATGAATTATTGTTAAAGTCATTGCAAATAATATAATATGTATATATTATACAATAGATTTATAATACATATAATAATATAATATACTTATATTACATATAATATATAATACAATATATAAACCTTCAGAGAATTTTTACGACAATCAAATAAAAAATACATTACATAAAAATATGTGAAATATAAAATAAAGTGCCGAGTTTTTAACTAGCTAGTTTCAAGATTGTTTTGTCATAAAATTCGGAAGAAGAAAAAAAATATTCGAGAAGCGTTAAAAATCACCTGTGCGTTTACTCTGTTGACGACGGCCAGCGTGCATATCATCAAAAGATCCGCGTAAATCAGTATCTCGAATATGACTTGGTTCAAAGCGTACGTGCTGATTATATAATATTCTTTGTAATACGGTAACGCGAGTTTACCAATCGTGCCGGTTAATATCAAAACGCACACGGTGTACGCGTATTCGATCAATCTCGGAGGCTTCTTTTTAAGACTGATGCCCATCCCGAACAGGAAGTTCATCGCGAACAACGGCTCGACGGTTTGCCTGATGGTTTTCGGCTTGAACATCGCCAGCTAAGAGAGAAAACGAACACTACGTGAACACTTGGAACACTTCTACTTCCTTGCCGTTCGCCTCTTCACTGTTTTCTGAACAGTTTTTGCAGATCATTATCACGTCACGGATATTAGATAGGCTGCTAAGTAATGGACAAGCACAACAATTCCTTGTCCATCTGTGGATCGATGTCGTTACGGCGATGAAATTTTTATTGGAAACAGCTAATGACGAAAGCGCCCACTGTGCACAATTATTATTATTATCGCAAGCGAAGGAGTTTTATTTCTGGGAAAGTCAAGGACATGGACTACCTTGACGTTCAAACGAATTTTTCAAACGTCTCACTCCGTCGTTTCAATAACGTGAATTGCAGCGAAGAGTACAACGATGAACAATTGTCAATAAATTGTTTAAATTGTTGCAACGATTTTGTAGGAGCAAATCTTAACTTGGAAAGCGTGAGAACTCTATTCTTTTGAGTTTGTTCTTTTCACTTAGAGGGGTGAGAAATTTTCGTTGACGTCAAAAATTTGGAGTGCTTACGATAAGTAGTATATTTCTGACTGCGTTAAATTATTTATAACACAATCTTTCGAGATTTAAGTATATTTACCCTCGAGAGAAAGTTTTCAACAATGTTGTTTGCATCTCTTCTCGTACCTCGTCGATTTATAAAAAAATCTTGAAGCTCCGGTAAGTATGTGGAAATCGTAAATAAAGAATATAGTATATATAATTGTTATTATTATACATATTATTCAATAACATATTATTAATTAAGAAACGTAATAACATCATAATAATATTCATACACGAATAAAAATATTATTTTACCATGACTGCTTTGTTCAAGAAAAATTGTGAGAAAACATTATAATTGTGATATTGTACACTAATGTTAAGTATTTAGTATTAATTATTAACATTTAATACCTACGTATTTTACTGTTTTGCGATAAAATACTATTAAAAGACATGGGAAATTATGCAATTATAGTTGCATTCTTTTGCAATACTGTCTGAACAGAGGAAGTTTCGTATGTGATTGTAGTTTGATCAGTGACTGTCAAATTTTGACTCAATTGTACCATGATCACCAAATAAGTTAATACGAAGTAGAAACACTGTAAGAAGCATGTGAAACAATTTTTAATACATCTTACGAGAAAGAAAAATTACATATGTAAAAGGATACTAACGTTACGAACGAAACTGTAGCTCAATACATAATGAACTGATTTTGTATCTTCAAGCTGTGTGTACGATATTTGCCACATGAATTGAAGTGTCTACCAACAGATCGATCTATGTTATATTTTTCCAAGATAATTTCATTCAGTACGCACGATAATAAAGAGTTCCAATTTTTTACCTCGTGTTTTAATTCCGCGCTTTCTCGATACAGAGGGCATGCGTGGATAAGGCTTATTATCTTGTCCGTCTGAAAATCGATTAGACGATTACTTAACTTATTACTCCTTTCAAAAAAAAAAAAAAGGTTAATCTTTCACAAAATTATTTGAGAGCCATTAGAATACAATTTTATTTCTTTGTCGCATCATCGTTGCATAAATTAAAGAAATATGTTGAATCTTCGTAATGAAAATAAAACATTGTTTCATGGATAACAGTAGAGTAACTATAGTTTTCAATCTGTTATTTGGAATTCTTATATTGCAAAACTCTGTTGAAATCTTCGAATTTCTCTTGCCAATTTCGTTTCAGTTTCAATCGAGGAAAAGATTTGTAAGGGTTCGATATAATCTTTGTCTTTATGGTGTCGTCATATCTTATCATTGTTATCATCGTTATTTATATTATACAATCATTATATGATATATTTAAAATATTATAATAGTAGGGATTGTTACACATTTTCCACGATTTGAATAAATTTTCTACTACGACAGGAATATGTAATTGGATAAAGAAGTCCAAACGCAGATTTGAAAAGAGTGATAAAAAAATTTCTCACCTGTCTCATTGCGTATTCGCAATCAATACTCATTACAGCAATTTTTAAGACACCAATGATGCTGTCCAACAGATATACAATTTTCAAAGTTAACTCGTATATAAAATTTTTTCGGCGGATTTCCATGTATATGTAATAGATAATTATAGTAGAATATAACAGTTGTGAGAACGTATATATTAAGATTTGTGCGTTGAATATTTGGTTGACCATCTTCGAAACGTTGCACACTTGCAGATGCAGGAACCTTCAAATTGTCAAATCACTTTATTCGTTAATAGATGCAGAATAATATATAGTGATTTGAATTAGATTTGGTAAATTTGAATTACATTTTATATGTATTTAAAATATATATGAGTATCAGTAATTTTCTACTATCAGCAAGTCTTATTCTATTAAATTAATATCCTCTATCTCGAGATGTACATTATCATTTAAAAATATGGTATTCATCATATTGTGGCGTCCGTTATTAAAAGAAAAATTCATCTCGAAAGGAATAAACATAATATAACTGACTTTTCCGATGATCACAATTTCTCATCTTTTTACATTGCTTGCTCTTTAATCTTTATTATTATTATTATTAATTCTGTTTACCTGATTTGTTGAAGTAAACGAAGATTTCCATCAGTCGGTGATACTTTCTTTAAATTTGATATGTCTTTCATGGAAGATATCTGTGAGACTTCTGAAGAACAAGCCGATACCGAACAATCGACTACTAACTGGTTTCGAAAATTACTACTTGGTTTGAAAATAATTTCTTCGTTGGATTCCGTAGCGTTACTTTCGTTGTCCTCCGAGGGCAATGTTTTTAGGAGCTCGTTTATCATTTTAAATCGCGATCCAAGCCAACTGTGAAGCAATTCAGATTAATTTAATTAAAAGAGTCACGAAAAAAAATAAATGAATATTTTATTATGAATATTTTATTCGAAGCCCATTATTAAGCGGAGTCATGTGTTTCTTTACTGTTCTCGTACAATATGGCTGCGTTGTATTCGTATAAAATAACTGACTGGGCATTCGTAATGTAAGTGTAACAAATAGTAACGAATATCACTTCTAAGTTTGGAGTTTTTTGAACTATGCATTGAAGCAAAATCCCGTATATTATGGTTGCGTTTAATATCCAAATGGATCCGACGATTATCACACGATGAAATAAATTGTGATAATCGATCTTAACTCCCAAACTTCTCAAATTTTCGTCCACTTCGTCAATCTGCTTTATCAACATCGATACGTTCTGTACAATAAATAAAAATACATAAATACGACAACAATAACATAATATTTGCTTATCAAGCAGATTTATGTTTTAAATATAATAAAATATAAAATAATAAAAACTACATACATAATATTTAGTAGTTCAAGTAGATATGATTATATATATATATACAAGCATATAATAATATAATATTATTTTTAAAATATAAAATAACAAATATTATATAAGCAAGGATGCTTTTTCGTTTTTAAGAAGGATTTGTATTGTATAATTGAACTATTGAACACTATTTACCTTGGATTGGTAGAAACCAATAATCATTGTACACGTATATCCCAATGCATGCGTAGAATATTGGATTACGTATATAACACGCTCTATATTATATGGCATGTTCATTTTCAAAGCACATAAGTGAAAATACAATTCGACGATAGAGATTGTAAAAATCAACAATATGTTCCAGATCCAGCTGCATATAAATTTCAGCAGATTCTTTCTTGGATCAATGAAGTTGCGGAGTCCAGCGATGTAATTAAATACGGTTATTATCCTTGTTGTTTTCTCGTAGCTGTCCATCGCTGTTTTAATATATCCAGAAAAATTAAAATAAGAAACGTTAACAACATCATTGACTTTTTCCAATGATGCTAAAAGTGAAATACTTTTTTTTACCAACGACTCAGAAAACAGTTGTTTCACGTCCGTTTCGCGAAGCACTTCGAACGAATTTCAAAGGAGTTGCAATAATTCTTCCAATTTTAGATCTTTACTATCATTTGTAGACTTTAAAAAAAGAACGAAGTAAAGGCAAATGCGAATGTTTACACTGACGTCGAATGCAACTTTAATGCATTTTACGAATGACACACATAAATTGTTCTTCTTCCAAACGAACGAATACGTGACATTAACGTAACTTGTTTATGTGAGACTGAAGGTGACAACGGCTGAAACATCTGACATAACATCTACAATTGTATCAAATAAAAAAGTGTTTCACGGGTAGAATGTCGTTTAGAAAATTATAGGAAAGTAAAAATAGTTGACATATGAAGCAATTGTACTTGCTATCGAGGAAATATGTGACGGCCGAGTAATTTTACTATGGCTCCGAGTAATTGCGATCATTTCAGAAAAAAGCTCATCCATATTCGCTGTCTTTCTACGCTACACGCAGAAAATTCTTAATATTCTACGTGTGTGTACAGTCATTGCATCCATTTATATTACCTTTCAATTCATTTAGTTATGACGTGCATACTGAAATATTAACTATGTATTATTATTCAACGTACGTGTTATTAATATTAGAATTACTTGACGATTAAAGCGTAAAATTTTCATCAGCCATTAAGATTTGGAAAAAAAAGAAAATTAAAAGATCTTACAGTACAATGAAATACACAAGCTTTTATTTACAAATGTTACGAAAAATCACTTACATGATTTAGCAAACATTACGAATCGATCATTGTTTTGATCATTCTGATAGGTCTAGCATTAATAATGACACGCTGTTATTTCAATTCGTATGAGCTACACTGCAATTATTTATTCAAAATGCTGGATTACATTTGCGCATGTTCATCTACATTGCAGTCAGGGAAATTCTTTGATTCAAAAGGAGACAAAAATCGAGTGCAACGAAATTAATCATAGAATTTATTTCTATCTTATAACTATGATATTAGCGTTGAGAAATATTTCAATGTGCAAACACATAAAACTCAACGAAGAGTAATATTCGATTGGAACCTTTTTTATGTTCTTAACATTCTAACAGTGGTATTTTATTTTCAAACTGTACATCTATTTATGTAATCACGTTAAATCAAGTTTTGACTCAATTGTACCATGATCACCAAATAAGTTAATACGAAGTAGAAACACTGTAAGAAGCATGTGAAAAATTTTTTTATACATTCTACGAGAAAGAATTACATGAATTACATATGTAAAAGAATACTAACGTTACGAACAAAGTTGTAGTTCAATACATAATGAACTGATTTTGTATCTTCAAGCTGTGTGTACGATATTTGCCACAGGAATTGAAGGGTCTATCAACAGATCGATTCTATGTTATATTTTTCTTTTACAAGATAATTTCATTCAGCACGCAAGATGACAAAGAGTTCTATTTTTTTACCTCATTTTTTAATTCCGTGCTTTCACGATACAGAGGGCATGCGTGGATAAGGCTTATTGTCTTGTCCGCCTGAAAATTGATTAGACGATTACTTAACTTATTAC